CAAGCCATGAAACCTTTGAATAGTTACATGATAAAAAATTCGAAGATTAAATTAAGGTAAAGAAAAAAATATAAGATTATGAGATCATGTTTTAAAAAATGTGTTAAAGCAATAAAAAAGATCTATTGAAATTGTGAAAAAAAAAGACCATTTAAGAAAAATATTTGGTAAAATGATGTTTCATAAACAACAGCAACCAAGAATGAGAAAAAAAACTTGTTTTACACAAAGTATGTTTTATGATGTCAACAACCGTGCAACTTTCACTTCATTATAAGAATTGTAAATTGTGTAGATAATTGAATTGTAAATTTTTACTATTCATAACATATTTGTTATAGAAAAAAATATATTTAATGTCTAATCAACATCAAGCATGTTAAAATGATTAAGATAAGACTAATGAGATTAATCTTATTAAATAGAACATATTATTCTGTTAATATTTGATAATTTTTGTAATAAATTGAAAAAAATCATCTAATATTCAGATTGATTGCTAGTACATAATTCTTTTCGAAAAATAATAGATTTTTTTTTATGTATTAAGATGGAATATTTTGTGAAATATTATTTATGTAGATCTCAACATAACATTGATTATTTGTGTAAGAACATGTTCATTTAATACAATGTTTTTTTACACTTTGATATAGTTAAAAAAAATTACAATTTCTTTTGCACTTAAAATCACAATTTTCATAAAAAAAATCGGAATTTATACAAAGTGACATGTTTAATTTATCTCTCATTTTATTGATTATGGGTAGCTGTTTTTTATGTTGTATGTTATCATTGTCTCAATCTTGTGTGAAGTTATTGTATACGTAAAAAGTCAAAGTTCTTTGTTGTTTTCAAAGAGTGTACTTTATAAGTTGTAAGTGAAAATAGCAAGATAATGACATTTTAATTAATAAATGATTTGAAATATACTTTTCAAAATTTGAGATTGATTGTCAATAAAACCAGATATACTTTTATCTGATTAATATATAAATTTCAAATCATAATAATAGTTATGATAATAATATGATTTTGTATGGATTATAATAATTGATTTTTTGATAGTATTTTTTTATGTGTTTGTGATTTTGTTTGAACTGTTTCTGATTCAGAGTAGTTTTTTCATTGTTGTTTTTATGATAATATACATGATTTGATTTTAAAGAGAAAACTTATGATTATCGTTCAAGAAAAATTTAAATGATATGATTTGTAGATTGCTAAAATGTTAGTCTAGGTTAAAGCAATTCTATGGAAAATGAAACGAAATATGTTATGATTTCATAAGATTGCAACACTATGTGTTTCATTCTTATGCATAAATGGGAATGATGATGGATTTATATTCGTACGTAGGTAGTGTAAATTTGACATGCATTTATATTATTGTGTTAAATATAGATTAAAAGTTCATGTAATATTAACTTGACAAATCTGTGTTAAAATTATTATTTTCCATACATACATGTTTATTTGAATATTTTAATTTGAAAATAAATTAAGTATATAACAGAAGAAATATAATTTAAAAATTTTATGGTTGATAATTTTATTCTTTCGTGTAAAAATATATATTTTTATAAAAATATGAAGTTATTTTGAAAAAAAGGAGTCCTAATAAATGTTATTATACATGATAATATTACTTTTTTAATGAAACTTAATAATACATAGTCTATTACTCATCACAAAAAATTATTTTTTTCCTGATTTAAAGATTTGTAGAATAAACGCTAAATTTGATTGTGATCAGTTATCACATTACTTCATGAATATGTACATCAAGGCATTGTTCTCACTTTTAAAATAAAAGCATTGTAATGATGAAAAAATCTCATTCATGATTTTTACATGTTAGGCTTGAAAATAGTTGGATAATATTTTCAATTTTTTGTATCTGCATATAAATAAAAAAACCAAGAGTCTTCGTAAATTTGGTAAATTTCAAAATTTCATATATCATATAATGTTAAAGTTAAATTTGTTTACAAAATAATTTTGTAATAGATGTGTGGAAATTGAATTTACTTACTTACTTACTTACTTAAATAAATTTTATATTAAATAATTAAATTAAGATATATTCTAATAAGTAAATTATCATTATATTAAAAATTCAAATATTTCCTTATATTTTGCTAGAAAGTAAATTGAAATTAAGTTTATCGAATTTGAAATACGTAATAAACTAATTTTTTTTCTTCATTTCTCCTAAAATTATTATCAAAATGACTATTTTCATAAAGAAATGTAAATATCCAGAAATAAATTTCATTCTCGTGTCTTGTTTTTTAATATTTTTGTAGTGCATATATTTGTAGATTGAGTATAATGACATAAGATTGATTACATGCTTCATTTCATGATCAATTTCCTTTATTGTTTTTTTATATTCAAGTAGATTGAAATGAGGAGATTTGTGAAAAAATTTACAATACAAACATACCATAATTTTTTTCCGACATCAAATAGTTCAAGTATGTTGGACGCAGCATCCGCTTTGTATTTGAAGCACATGCTTTAGTTTAGTCTTCACTTTATATCAAGATTGTATTTACAGTAATGTGATCTTATAGAATCAAACTTAAATGACGAATGGGGACTTGGTTATGAAGTCGAAGTACACAGTGAAATAAAGTGGAGTTAAAATTAACGTGCACTGTCTTCAGCAAAGCTGAATTAGTAGGAAGTATTGCAGGTCAAGCACTAAGAGTTGCAAAGGTTACGTGCACAATCTCTACATTTTATGTTTGAAGTCGTATGAGCTATTTTCAATTAAGTAATAGAGGTTGCAAAGTGAGCATGCGAAGACAATGTTGGAATACTTTTAACTTATGAGATGGAACAAGTTACAATTGAGCTGTTTTTACTGGTATAGCATGAGAACATACATATAGATATAAATAATTGACCATTATTCTTGTGCTGGATGCTTGGAATCATCTCACTGACTTGCACTCTCAATTTATTTCTGAAAAAAAAATCCTGATATAAGAGATTGTAGGTGAGTTTGCGGGGCAGTCCAAGCGCATGCCAGACTGTTATTCGATTGTGCGACCAGGAATCCGAGGAATGAACATTCACGATGTTCGCACATTTGAAACATCTGCCTAATCGGTAGCTGTCATTCGAGACCGAGTCGAAGAAAGACCGGCCGATCACAACATGCGTAAGAACGACATCAACAAACACTCTGTCCCGACCTTCCTCACGTTGCACCAACTCGTTCGATTCTCTGCGCCTCGGCATGCAAATATTCATTCCCCGTTTTGACTTTATCCCACGGACCCCAATTCCAACTCATTGCAGCCGGCAGACAGCCCGAACAGGCAGGTGGAGTAGTACTGTACAGTAGTCCCGCGGTAGATACTTGCGAGCACGCTCTTTCTATCTTTGCATGTACGTTTTGTAATGTATGTGGTAAGGGGAAATGGCCCAGTTGCAGTGGATCATCGTCTACGCTAGTTGCTATGAATTAGGTGAGCTGCGATCTAGTACTGGAGATGGATTATGTAAGCATGGGGCTGGGGCCGGGCAGGGCAGCGCGGTGAGTTTATCGATGACCGGCGAGGAATATTTGCAGCCACTCGTGCTAACTTTGGACCATCTGCAGCTCGAGCATATCGATAATAACCACCCACAAACTCACGCCATTAGCCGTCCGCGTCCGCGTCCATCACCTCTCGAACTGTGGTGGCTCGACCATGGGACCCGGTACTACTTTTACGGCGTCCATTAGCTCACGTCCCTCGTAGGCCTCCCCGCCCAGATTCCGCAAAGGAATTCAATTCTCGAATCGGGAGATTCTTGACATTGTTGATCGGAAAGCGGATAAAAGAAAAGAAGAGAAGAGTCCGGGAGATAAAAGAAAGGTTCTAGTGGATCCAGCGGAAAAGGAATAAGACAAAACCACGGAGCCTGGATCCAGCACTCCATGAGTAGATGACTGGGACATGGAGTTACAGTACACGATTCTGTTACTGTAATGAATGCTTGGGGTGAGATTTGTCTGAAGTTCTTCCTTGCGCGAGGAGACTTGGTGCCGAGACCGGCCTCAAGCTCCGATGTACCAACCACCGGAATCTCTTTGTTTCCTCCTCAGCGTAACGCTACAAGAACCGTACTGCATGAGTGACCGGTTGGTACCCGGGTGCACACGTGTATCGACATGATTGCTCAAATTTCGGTAGGAAGCCGGGCGGACCGTTGGTCTTGGACCAACGGCACCGCGTTGTCACTGTACCGTCAGTCCCCGAGAGCAACTCGTCGCGGCACTTGATTGTGTGCAAGGCGTTTTCGCGGTCGGACAAAGAACCGCGTAGGGGAGAGGGGAGGGGGTCGTCCGTCGACATGCGGGCGTGGTTGCGTCGGACGGCGACGACGTCGACCGAGGGAAGAAGGGAACGCGACATGTCGGTGGAAGATTCGAAGACCGTGCGAAGCGTACGTGTGGACCAATGAGGCGCGGGGGACGGAGGAAGGACGGGCCGGCCCGACGGGGAGGCTGGGCGCTCGCAGTAACCGGCGTGACTGTCAACAGAGGATTGTAGCAGCACCCAATGGGGGCGCCCGCTTTGACCGGCACGGGCGGGGCGGTCGCGGTCGCGGTCGCGCTGGTGGCCGGCCCCCCGCGTGCCTGGTTAGGGCGATGGAGCAGCTGCTGGCTGGGGCTGGTGCTGGTGCTGGTGCTGCAGCGCTCCCCCGGGTACCCGCGCTCCGTTCGCTGGCTGCTGGTGCTGCGCTGGGCTGGGCTGTAGGTGGCGGACGAGTGAGTGGCGCTGTGCAGCGAGCGGAGGCTTATGGTTGCGTGAGTGCGTGAGTAGCGTGCTATTTTCATTCGTGCCCAGGAGCGTCTCCAATCGTCCTGCTCTCCCTTGCCCTCCGTCCTGCTCGCTCGCATCGTTCGGTCGTCGTCTGCAGTCAGCGATCCGCCCTCGCCCGCGTTCTGCAGTTTCTTAAGGTGAGCATGGCTCTCTCTTGAAGTCACATCGAGGCACCAACGAAGCAAGTGAAGACCGAGGACACAGAGAGTCAGAGAGCGAGATAGCGATAGGGAGAGAGAGACAGGCTTAAGAGAGTGGGAGTGGTTTTTTTTGGGGTGTTGGTGAGATATTTGTTCTTGCGAGTGTTGTTGGTTGGTTGCGTCTTGTGCTTCTCCGCCTCTGCCTGCCTGCCTGCCTCGAGCGCCGGTGCTTTTTCGTTTCGGAAATTCTTTGGGTTTGGAGCGCTCGTTCGTGCACGTTCTCATCTAAGGAGGCTTCTTGATCTTGCTGTTGCGAAGGGTGAAAGAAGGAGAGAGGACGGTTGCCACCAGACCTCCGGTCGTCCGCGTACAACAGTTAAGGTTCATGTCAGATCTAGATATCCAGATCCCTGGCGCCTTTGGTACGTGTTCTCTCTGCCCGAAGTCGGTCGAGGCCATCTGTCGGTGGCCCAGTTTAGGTTAACCAGAAGGTCTTCAGTTTTTCAGTTTTCTCGGTTTCTCCAATGATTAGGATGTTCCGCTCTTGTGCTTCCGTTTTCTAGACGCTGATCAGGAGGTTTCACCGATTGCGACTTGATTGCCTCTGAGGTTTTGAACATCATTTGTAACACACTTATTCGATGATCTGCCGTCCGCTTCACGGGTTTTGAGTTCCGTCGCGTTGTTTGTTTTGGCTTCTCGAGTGGAAGGTTATCTGACAGCTTCGTTGGCCCTACAGACCCATTTGCAGAGGCGAATGCTGAGGATTCGGGTGCAGGTTCTAAGGATTATGTCCATGTGCGGGTCCAGCAGCGAAACGGAAGAAAGAGTTTGACCACCGTACAGGGCCTCAAGAAGGAATTCAACTACAACAAAATTCTCAAGGACTTCAAGAAGGTGAGTCCATGTTCTCGTTTTTGGCTTGGTGCGGCCACATCTTGGTGTGGAGTCTTTAGGTAGTTCCTTTACGGATAGTGGGCAGATTTTCTGCCTTGTCTCGCGGATACGCCAATCTCCCCCCATTCTTCACAGAGCAACACGTCCTGTCAGATCGTCCTCCACCATCTCTCTCCCTTCCGATGATGGACAAACCGCGCCCTTCTAAGCCCTCCACGTCGATGAAAGCCAACTACGATTTCCTGCTCATTTGTCCTCGATCCCGTCTTTAGGAGGCAGCCGCCCCCTCATGTGGAGTTCTCCGTCATCCTTTTATCCTCTTTCTTCATAGCTTGATCGATTATTTGCCATTGCCGCTTTCATCCTTCTCCGCTCCCAAAGCATCAAGGTTCCTAAACACACGCTGAGTACGGAAGTACTTGCATCAGCTGCTTCTGAACCACAATCAGTTCGGTCATCCTCGTCATCTTCACCTACAGTATGTTCGTGCAGTCTGGCTTTTCCCATCTTCATGATGCCATCCCAAAGTTTCCTCCTCGTGATCGGTTGGCCTTTCCGGTGGGGTCTTTTATCAAGGCAATCCCCTCCTTCAAGCTTACATTTCTGCCATCATTTTAGCCTGGAATTCGACAATATCGCAGCTGGTCTCGTAACTTCAACTTACAAGGTCACCTCACCTGTTTGTTCTCAATGTTTAGTATCCGTGGTTCTATGACTTCTCACCGATGTGACTAGGATTCTCCTCTCGGAAAGGTGGTTAAGGAAACTCTTTTCAGTAGAAACATCCATCATCCATCAAATCAATATATATGTTATAGATTAGCATGTCGGTCTCCAATTTACAAAGTCTACAACCGAAACTTGTTCCTCAATATTCTGTTTTGGCCCATAGCTCTTCCTAACCTCATCTCATTTGAGACCGTCTTGTCTCGCCTACACTCCGTATTATGGAACTCTTCAACTCAAGCCAATGTCCTTATCTGTTTTTACAGCCCCGTCGTGTATTCAGATTACTTCCCCTCATCCTTTCACGGACATAAATCTTCCTTTGTCCACTATGGGCAAACTACGTACTTTCGTTCTTCCCTCTAGAGCTTGTAACGGTTTTTCTAGAAGGCCCTTTGTTACGAACGGTGACATTTCAGAGCTCTGACTTACGGATCGGATATACAAGCTGTTCGCCGCGGAAATGAGCAAGCTGCGTTTAATAGTAGCAATATAGGTCGTTCGGCTGAAGTACTTACATCCTCTTCAATCTTTTGGCTTGCGCAGGAATTTTGTTGCAACGGCACGGTTGTACAAGATCCCGAGTTGGGTCAAGTGATTCAGCTGCAGGGAGACCAGCGGAAGAATGTGTCGCAGTTCCTTGTTCAGGTGATTTGTGAATTTTTGAGGTTAAATTTAGGGTTGTGAGTTTTGTCGCGTCCTAGGCTGTTCATGCGTTAACCTCGTACATTCCGGACTCTTGCAGACAACGTGGATCACTCCTCATTCCTATCTATTAAAATTGTTTGTGTTTGTTTCAGGCTGGAGTTGTGAAGAAGGATCTGATCAAGATCCACGGATTTTAAGCTCAATGTTTTCGCCTCCGTGGTTTATGTCAGCATCAGGGTGGTCACCAGGTCAAGTTGGAGGTTGAACCATTTGTGTAGAACGGGATGCTGGTTGAGTGTAGCAACCCGAGCATAACTGTGAGGGATTCTGCAGTGTACGTCAGAGATCTGGCTTGTGTTAGGTGCTCGAGGCTCTGCACTGCTGATACCTTTGTAAGCGTCCGGTTGCAATATGATTGACTGTTTTTATTTCCATGGTCCGAGGAGGTTCATAGGGGCTTTATGTCTCTATGACACTCTTTTGGCTTGCACATGATTGGACTTTTCTTTCTTATACTTTAATGGGCTGAAGAAGATAATAGAAGGTATTTTTATTTCTATGAGACTCTTTGGCCATCACGCTCAGGTATGAGCGCGGCAAAGTCATGTTTAGAACGATGACTTACTGCAGCAATTGAAACCAGAAAGTGCGATTGACTGAATTTCCAATGCGGTTCTTTTGTTGACTAAGCCAAGACGGAGATCTTTGTACAAATCCCTATGTTTTCTGTCTGTTGTGTATGTATGCATGTGCGTTGTATTTTAGCAGCGGCCTTGCGTTTGTAAATGTACAATCAGCGTTGCTACTCAAAATTGTACGGAGTTTATGTGATATATGTTGTGTATTTCTCGACTTCTGTTGACATCTCCTCGTACAAGAAAGAGAATTTTCAAGCTGGGTACGAGCAGGCTTGGAAGTGATGAACCACAGAACTGACAAATATCAACAAATGCACATAGGACAGGATGAAAATTTCTTCATGAACCTACTTTCTTAAGTCGTAAACCCGAAGTTTGAACGGTTATTGAAATTTCCTGAAGTAGTCTGGCAGGATAAGAAATTCTGAGAGTAGAAATATCTCAAATGAATATTTCGGCTGGGAAAAATGAAAAAATAGTAAAAATATTCCCGTGAAAGAAGACAATTTCCAAATTTGATAGTTGTTACCCTCACATTATCGATTTTGAAGAATGAATATGTGGTAAATAATCATAATTGAATTGCACATAATGAGAAAAAGTTAAACGTAAAACATGAAGATTTACATCGTGAGAAAGTCGATGAAAAGGTAGACTGTGAACAACATATGTTTCTTGAAGAAAACTTCAAATGTGCAGGCAAAAATATGTTCAATGCCAGCGTAAACAGTGGTCAAGTGTAGATGGGACGAATGTTAATCTGCGATATATCCTCAACTGTAGAAGTTTGTGGTTACGGTGTGTACCCACTAACCACATATACTTGCTAGACATTGCGATGTATCCTCAACTGTAGTAGTTTGCGGTTACGATGTGTACCACTAGCCACATATACTTGCTAGACATAGCGTTGGCTTGATCACATCAATTCGTACACAAGGAGAGAGAACTGAAGCCACCTGTATACAACCTAATGTCCTAGTAATATAGTCGCATCGTGCCCTCAAGACTATTGCATTTTACATTTTAAAACTGCAGCTGGTCCTCGAATGGAACTTCTATATTTTGTCCTACTCTAATGGTCTCCCTTTAAATATCAACATATTCTCTTCTAACAGAACATGGGGCTTAAACTATCCTCGATTTCACTGAGTTAGATAATAGTGATGATTTCTTGGTATAATCATATTTCATCACATTGACTTGAGATTGCCAGTGAAAAATACTTTCTCGCTGATCTAGTAAAGATTTCCCTTGGCATCGATAGAGATGAACTCTATACCTCCCTTTCCTCTCCTTGACCAGGTATATTTGTTCCTCCAAAGTCTGTCCGTGCACGTCAAATTTAATATCTTCTAATCCTATTTTTGACCAACATGGCTAAAATATGGTTAAAAATCACGCTGATTACTCACCTTCGTCATCCAACTTAAGGAAAAATCTCACACAAATTCGGATTATTATAATATAGCTTTACCCAAAAGCATAAAGCATGCAGATAACCAATTACTAATTGCTTCGAAGAGAATGACTTAAGCCTGAGCTTGCATCGATAATCAACTTACTCGAGATTCGAAAGAACAGGAATCTGCAGAGTGGAATTTTTCTCAAATATATAACCCTACAATAGAATTCCATGGAATGTACACAGGATCCGCGCACAGTGCAAGGAAAGGTGGATAGGAAGACGATGGGGTGGAATAAATATTAGCGCCATGAGTTCGAGGACAGACCCCGACACACGAGATGAACATTCCAAGCATCTCGTTTCTGGTGCATGTGGGGCTCATCTACATACACACACACACCCACCCACACAGTAGATCTGCATCTCACAGATCCTTCTCAATGATTTGATAGCCTGTTCTTGTTGTGGATCTGGCCGGGGAATGTAAGCCTCGTTTTACTTTAATCGATCTGTGACAAACTGCAACCATTTATTCCTCCCCCGCCCCCCACCTGACTGAAAGTATTCACTTTTGCACGCATACATACACAAGGCCGGCCAGCCAGCCAGCCATCCTCGTCAGAAGACCCGAGCTCCCGGTCGAAGACCAAATGCACACCAAATAACAACTCTCGACGAAATAAATGTCGTCTTCAGAACATTTTTTAAGCTGTTGCTGCTGCTGCCGGTGCGTCTTATGCTTCATCTTCTTCGAGTGATCGTACTCTTCTCACATGCACTGCACAAGGAAGATGAAAAGCTGAATTTCCACCAATTTGCAGCCAATGGAGTCCAAAAAGTCCAGACGAACGAGGTCATCCGGATCCGACTACTGATTGATCTGCCAAAGTAGAATAAAATCATTCCTCCTGCAAAAGACACCACCGTCTTCCAAGTGCGAGCTGCTCGAGAATCCGGCATGCACGGAAATGAAAAGCCGAAAGACGACGTTCTGCACCAGTCCCAGTCCGAGCCCGAGTCCGAGACCGATGCGGATCGAGATCTACAGCTCTGTCTGTAGCAGCAGTGCAGGCACAGTTGCAGGAGTATCCCCCCGTTGTATCATGAGACGACGAGAGCTGCTCGATGCTCGTAGGCCGACGCAGCATCTTCGCCAAAAGCAAAGCTCGCTGAGACCTTTCCCTTCCTTTTGTTTTGCTTTTGTCTTTCCTTCTTTCCGGGCTCGATGTTGAATCGAGCGAATCGACTCATTAGACGACGCCCGGAGCTACTGGCCGCCTCCAGAGCGGGCTAAAGGGTCGGGACGAGACTCGGGCGTGAAGATCACTCCCATCAGCGTGATCGAGATTCGCCGCCCTCATGGACTTGCTTCACCGAAAGCCTGCCATTACTCCAATCACGAGGTGCTGGCTTTTTTATATCCCCCGAGTTCAGCTCAGAGTTCAGCCGAGGCAGAGGATAGGATCCGCCTGCAGGCTAATAGAAAACAGTCGCAGTAGGCAGGCAGGTATGCAGGCAGTCAGCAGTCTGGAGTGATGGAGTGCCAACAATTACTGTTAAGCAGGTGCATTTGACCCCATCGTCCCCACCATCTTCATATCCTGTGAACTTCACGCCGGACAGATTTCAGCTTTCTACCAGAATTCTCTTTATTTCGGCAGCACAGCAGCAGAGGAAGCGTGGGTCTTGGTCAAATGTTGACAATGGGGAGCTAGACTTGCAGCTAACTGTACCTGTGACCTGTGAGCTTGTGCGAGCCCTCGAGACTTGGTGACTTTGGGGTTTGTATACTACCTCACTCTCTTCACCGTTGACTGTACTGTATGGACCCATGTACGGTCCATCATTAGCGTGCATCAGAAATTAGTTTTGCGCTTTGTGAAAAGTATTTTCTGTTCATGAAAGAAGAACTGAACAGAAAGCTTCTGAAATCTGTCATCGAATGATCGCTCGCGTAAGAGAGAAACATTGAGAGCTATATGCGTTTAGAGCCAAAGTGATCTGAATGCAGAATTAGACATTCAGATGTACAAAGTCACCGTCCACAACGATCTCCTGCCGTAACTCTACCGGAATTGCAGGCTGCAGCTGCAGCGCAACTTCGTGTCCAATTCTTCAAGTCCAATGAAAGAAAAATGTTCCTGCTAAAAGGGACAGCAACCACTTTTTTTTTATCAACCACGGTCAAAAAGTTCAAAGTTTTTCTTGAAACTTGAAAATTCTTGACCAGAATACGGCGTGGTTTGGACTTCGACATTCCTCGATAATGAGCAGCAGATATCGTTGACAATAATTCTGGTTATATTTTAGCTTGCTTGTGTACACGGTATTAAACTTAAAATTTCCATTTGTGTTCGAGGTAAGCGAGCAACCGGCACCATATTCAGGTCTTGAACACTGTTTTGCTGATAGCCTCTGCAGGTTCCTGTCAAGCCATATCTGAAACAGTGAACATTTGGAATATATGGGAGATTAGTATCACTATAAAGTTCGCTTAAAGCATGCTGATGCTATAGAAGAATGCATTATGATTACATGGCCCAATTCAAACAATGCTCATAACAATTTCCAAAGCTATCAAGGATGAGAGACATGATGAAAACTTGTGAAAGTTGAATCTCTGATTCACTCTCTTTCCGATTGTCGGTTTCTTCCTAACAGTGCACTGTCTCCTTGCCTTAAATCTTCTGTCCCGTTCTCGAATTCGTGCTTGCATGCGTCGAGGTTTACAAAAGTCTTGGTTAGTTGAAATCATTTTCGATTCGATTGGAATCCTCATGTTCTATATTTATGACCATGCTTTACTTTTTCTGAGGAATTTGAATCGACTGACCTAGAGCGATGTGTTTCAAAGACTGGAAGCAGAGCAAGAGGGGAGAGAATGAGTTTATGATGTAAACTTATATTATTCTATAAACTAAAAATCTCTCACTATTATTAACATTCAGGGCGCATATCTGCTTTCACGATACAATGGCTTGATTAGCTGTCTGCACCTGTCATATCTTTAGGCCAGGAGCTTCGTTGCTGGTTTTTCTGCTTGTACCTTGAAGATGGAAACTTGACTGTGTAGAGACCATACCAACCTAGAAACTATCACTGTCTTCAGATCACACGATGTGTAGATAATTACTCTACATTACGAAATGGAGAAGCAATGAATATAAGTCAGTATGCGACCACAACTACCGAGGTACAAACTAAAAACCACATATAGGCATGAAAAAACCACCTGGAGGTCATAAGAAGAGTAGAGAGACTTAGTCTCTGTTAATAAATTACTTCGTCTCCAGTGGCGCCTCTTATCTCTCCTACATGCAAGTCTTCAGTACTGTGATAACATGAGGTTTAGAGCAGAGACTAAAGCATGTCGCAATGATATGTATTTATGATGCGTACAGTACTGGGTGCAATAAGACCATAAAAATTGTGCACCAATATGTCTATCATCATAAAGCCAATCACACCCTCCTAAACACAATCTTGTCCAAGAGCACTGCATCTCCAGGGCATGATGAATGATACATCACTTACACATCGTTCTTCCTTGAAGATCTTGGCGGCAGCGTTAGTCTCCAAATCTTTTCCAGCTTGAAGTTGAAGGCACCGAGTTGGATTAGTAACCATAACCTCAGCGACCGCAAATTATTATATTTGAAAAACGTAGACTAGATGCTTATGTAGGCTGATTTCTCTCTGGAGCCACGTAAAAGCTCTGAATCTTTCTGTATTTTTGTTGGTCCCCTGGATATCATTAGCCTGAAACAGATGGCAGTTGATGATCCTAATCTCCATTAATTGAGGCTTGATCAACATGACAAGCATGTCACGTTTGTGTTATGTTAGTGAGATCAGGCATTATGTAGGGTTTAGGGTTTAGATGTCTGACGAGCTGCATCCACAACCCTCACTCCATCCTTATCCGCTGTGTTTATCAGGATACAGATTCAGCTAGAAATCAATTGTTTCAACAGTGAGTGCAGATTCTTCGTTACTCATGGAAACAAGATGAACAGGCAGATTGCAGATTGCAGTTTTTTGACGAATTGTCTGTTTCCACCTCCAGGAATTCCTGCTGATGCTACTCAAATGAGATGATCTATAATGACTTTGTACTCATCCCTTGCTCCTGATCAGATCATAGTCCGAGGTGTAAATTGTAGAACCAACCTACTATCCGAAGGGCTGGGAACACATTTTGTACTGGAATTGAGCTACGGTCTACTTCAGGTGAAAACTGTGGTGAGATTTGTACATGCACAAATGGGGGCTATGTCTCTCATATAAAGGCTTGCCATCTCGTGTGCTTAAATTACCTGCACCGATAAACCTTTACAACAAGAGCACTAGTACTAGCTTACATTAGTATTAAGACGGGTATTCGAACGATGTCGAGCAATTTTTGGCTTATTTAATCGCCGCTTACACCAGCACTTTGTGCTAATTGTCGAGCTGCAGGTGCAATGTGTCAAGCATCTGACAGTGCAGCTCTTTTAGAATTCGCCTCTGCATACCACCACTGTCTTTTGAGCTTTTGGCAGCCAAATAGCGACCGCTGCTCGTGGTCTGGAGATATGGCAGGGATTAAGGTCGAGTGACTGACTTCACAGTCGACGCCAAACACCCTGAATAGGAGGTTACCCCACCTCCCTCCCATCCATCAGACATCTTAATTCAGTCTCGTTTGGTTACTCTGCACTACATTTAAGCTGTCTCATCAGATCTTTTGATTCACAGAGACTGTAAAATGATGACACTAAATCGAAATTTCTCAGACTGATAAAGCTTCAACGTCAGTCTTGTCGAATTCGGTTTTGTTGTGTGCCACGCTGCCCACCTCATTCACTTGTAGCTATCCAGGCAGAGCTAAGAATAAGTGATAATCACTTGGTTGTTGCTATTTCATGAATGAGAGAGAAGTGTGTGCCTTTTCCTTCTCCAGAAGGAAAAGGCATCTGTCTGCTGGTTGACACTCACAAGCAGTTGTTGCTGCCGGTGTGGATACGCAGTAGGAGAGGCAGGAATCTCGCTCGGACGTCTCTCAGCTCTACAGAAGTTTCTGCACTGCGTGATGCTCAACGCACCTGCTCCTTAGAGTGTAGTCCAGCTAAATAAAACACTCGCTAAATAGGAGCTGACGATTTGGAAATGCAATGTCACGGGACTATTTCCTGTCTCTACGGTAGCTTCCTCAATCTAGAGAAATTTACTCTTTCAGGCTCTGGTTTCACGGGTACGGTGCCACTGGAGCTTTGCAACCTCGTCGATGTCCTGTTCTTAGACCTCGGACAACTATCTCACAGGAGGCTTTCCTTGGTGACCTTCCCGACGAGTTCGACAATCTCACGACCTTCAATGCCAGCCAAAATCAGCTCACGGGCACTTTTCAAAATCAGCTTCTTGGCAGGTATTACAAGCGGGCTCACTTTTTCGACCACTTTTTATGTTGATGTAATATATATAATTCAGAAGATTTTTGTCCGACATGAACATCCTTTCCTAAGAGCATTTATCTCAGCGTGGTTACTTGAGATAAGAACTTACGTGTGAATGATCTCAGGCACAAAATTGCAATACTTATTACTGTATACTTAGATCATTCTGGAGACGATGTCCATCGAAGATGCTTTGTGCTTATTGACTGGAAGCTTCATATTCTAGAAGACAAATCAGGTTGTTAATTCAGACTCTATTTCTTTGTTTAGTCTCGCTGGGAAAGTGCTCTCTGCGCAGAGTAGAGGTCGCTGATAGATGCAACGTATCTTATCATCGACCCTGTTTGATTCGCTGCAGGCGCAATTAATCGTAAGTTGTCACAAAATCAGCTCTCGAGTTTTTCAATAGACTGGCTTCCACGTAACGTGTCACTCCTGGAGAATCTCCAACTAGATAACAAAATCTCAGAAAAATTCCTCCCAGGTTCAAATGTGTTAACTACTTGAAGTTCACAGAATTTTTCAATATTCAGATCAGAGACAAAATTCCAGCAACATTTCTGGCTCTCCAACATCTTAATTACGTCATTTTTTTCTGGTATATTGACGTATTTCTTGCATCAATTTCTTCCACTAGCCTTGCAGTACTTGATGGGCACGGAAACCAACTTTCTGGAAATGTTTGTGACGATTCAAACACAGGCTGCCGAACTTAAAGTACTTGGATCTGTCGCTCAACTAGCGCTATATCAGAATTCAATTGCTTTTTGCAGCGTTCCTACAACATAAATGAAATTGTGGAAGTCCTCTGTTCTCTTGCCGGGAATGGAAACGATCGTTAATAAAAAATGTGAGGAATAAATTGTGGGTGTTGCGGCTTTCTGCTCCAACGTCCAAGTCGGAGCATGAGCTGTGTGCAGGCCAGCATAACATACCTTGTGACAGTGGAGATCCGGTCGGTTGGACCTACAAAGTTGAGTGCCTCGTCGCGCAAGTCTCTAGTCTAAATCTCGTGAGTCTTGGAGACTCTGGTGACCTTAGACCGAGCAAATTACTTGCTCGGTCCCAGTTCAGCTGATCTTCCCTGAATTAAATGAAAAACTCCTGAAATGCTTGCACAAGAATCACATTAAAGAAGTTTTTTGAAATTTTGGAATTCTGAAGCCTTTTGATCCATCCATCAGCTTGTGCACCACTCCATTACATCTGGTAGAGCAATTGCATACCTCAACCAGCATTTTCCATTTCATCTGTCAAAGTAAGATAGTACAGGCGGCATCATCTTTCCTAGCAGACAAACTGCTTTGTAAACGAGACTCATACTTTTTATCATGTGATACGATTTTGAGCCATGAAAATATTGGGAACAGGCGAAGTGCAACTGAAAGGCTCATACGTTTCATGGTCAAAGGCCTGGATCTTATGGATCATTAGACGCCAAGTCCATGACTGTACTTCGACAGGACCCTGAGTCAAGTAGTCAGATTGCACAACTCATGAGTTGAGGCCTTCGTGACCTACCTCCTCCTCCAACGAAAGCGCGAGGATCATCAACTCAGAGCAAGAAAGTCCCCTGCTCCTTCAAACGAACGTACATACACGCACTGCAGAAGTAGAAAGTACTTTGCCAGTATGCTTCTGGTACTCCTCCCCGTGATGCAAGTTCATTGATCATGAACGGCAGCTGCTGATCAAAGTGATGACAAAATTGGGACGATCAGCCCATTTTCAATCAAAATCCCGTCATTTGCAATCGCCTATCGATGGCTCTGATAATCCTCTGATATATGGACTTCTAGGCTCCGACTGCATTAATCAGCTGAAAGCACGGACCTGTTTCTGGAACACTAACTTCAACGGGATAACATTTCCAGCCTATCGAAACCTTCTGGTGAGTTTAACATAAAAAAGCAAACTTTTGAATCCTTTGGAATTCTCAGAAATGTTACATACTGGTATCTGTACACTGACACTTGGGTAGAGGAAGAATTGGTTCCTGGGTACGGGCTAACGGTCTAGAGCATATGAACATTGTGGCCCTGTATGGTCGTTTGCTGTATACATGGTGAGGATGTATTATATATACTGCAGTATATAGTAAGCAGTGAGCAGATGTGTCCAGAATGAAGGGGCTTGTGGGTTTAGCAGCCCTGGTGGTCGTCATCACGGTAACCAGCAGAGAAGCTGAAGCCATAGCTTCCTGCGACGCCTCTGATAGCGGAGCTCTTCTCGAGTTCGCCTCCGCCTTCAATGACTACGGCAAAGTCCTCGTCTCATGGCAGCCGGGCACAGACTGCTGCTCCTGGCGCTGGGTCAATTGCAGTGCCATCACCGGTCGAGTCCAGGGCCTTGAGATCGTCGGCCCCGAGCTCAAAACAGGCTTGCCTCTCATAAGAAAAGTCGATTTTGGAGGTCCTTCTTCCTCCTCCGATTCATCGTCGCTTCCCACCTCATTCTCACTAACATTCCATCAGCTGTTCCAAACAACCCCTCTCATCTTTTAGACTCAGTCTGCTTCCCGATCCAGCGGCAGGAGTACTAAATTATTCACCTCCTGAAGAGGATCCACACACTAACGCTTTCGAGCTGCAGCTGAGCATGCTCACCGAGAAGAGATGATATCTTTGTTTTTAGTTTTTATAATTTGTGATACTGTATTCAATAATTTTATCCAAATTTTGGTGGTATTTGGTTTCATTATGCGATTTAATAGCTGTGCTGATTTAATATAGTGGTTATATCGAGTCACATCTTTCAGGGCTCTTAGCATTATGGTGATTGGTCGTCATATCGTCACACTTCCATGTTTGGTCCTATATTTCGATGCATGGATTTGGACATCGAGACTTAGTCCGTGCACTGATTTTGACAGTCTGAGCTTTCATAGTGAACGACGTAGTGCTGGCTGCAGGTCCCGTGGGAGCTCCGCTGGGACGACTAATGGCACTGCAGTACCTGCGGCTGACGGACGTGTACTTCAACACCTTGGCTCCGTGGCCCATAGGGCAGCTGTGGCTGACGCTCACAGATCTGACGCTGGTCCGATGCAACTTCTCCGGAGGCATTCCCTTCACTTGGGGCTACCTCTCGAACCTCCGCAAGCTCGTCCTCAGCTCGAGCTTCACTGGTGTCCTGCCCGGCGAGCTGTGCAACCTGCCCAACATCTGGACCTTCGACGTATCAGACAATGATCTGACGGGCCCTTTCCCCTCGTGCCTCATGAACTTGAAGACAGTGGTGGTGCTGCGATTCGACAATAATCAGCTCACTGGCCCTCTTCCTCCCGAGGTCGGCATGCTGAGCCCCACTCTGAGCACGCTGTCCTTGGCGAACAACAAGCTCACGGGCCCCATCCCCATCGCTCTGACCAAGCTCACCGGCCTCCGAGAGCTAATCCTCGAGCGAAATCTTCTCACGGGGCAGATTCCCTCCGAGCTGAGCTTGATGAAGAACCTCGTGCTTCTGGATCTGAGTAACAATTCTTTCGGGGGACTGATCCCTCCCCCGCTTGCAAACCTTCCGAAACTCTCGAAGTTGGATTTGTCCAACTGCAGCCTCGTGGGTCCGATTCCCAGTAACTTCGGCAATCTCGTCAGCCTGACCTCGTTCGTGGCCAGGTACAACAACTTGACGGGCTCGTTCCCGTCCTCTTTTGGTTACATTCCCGCAGTGAACCGATTGGAAGTCGATGTCAGCTACAACAAGCTCACAGAAGACCTTCCCGACACTTTCTACAGCGTCATGACGTTCAAGGCCAGCCACAACTCCCTCACTGGCGTCTTCCCGTTATCTCTAGCAGGTACTCATCTCCCACCCCCATCGCATAGAGCATCGTTGCTCAAATGTGAGCATTGCAATTGCTGAAAGCTTTCTTTCGACTATGTTGATGGAGAGCAAATTCCAGAGCTGCAGACTGATGGAAAATTCTCCACCAAGCAGCTTCCAGCGATTTTTAGTAGAATGGTCGTGAGGTAATCAGGTTTTCATAATCAGGTTGGTAATTTCCCCCCTCATGATCATACGTGATATCACTTCATGGATGGCTCGAGAGGTTTGCTGGTTAAGCAAATCAATCAGTTGTTGGCAAACTTGTTGTGGGTAAGACTTCAAAGTCATGTCATTTTCCAATCATGAATTATAAGAGAAACTAATACTTGCATGGCACGAGAGTTCTGATCAAATCAAGGAGTTAATTGTCAAAAGTGTTGTGGGTGAAATTCTGTAGTCAAGTTGGTCATTTTCCCGCTTATTAAATCATACGAGAGATCATTCCATGCATGGCTCGAGAGTTCTGCAAATTGAGCAAATCGATCAGATGTTGGCTCTGATTATGACATTGCTCGAAGTTGGTGATATCGGTCGACCAATTGCTGTGAAAGGAATTACGAGTGTGAGAGATTTGTCAGAGAGGAACATTCCGATCAGATCCAGATGGTTCATAATGGGACGTCTGCGAGTGCAGGAGCGCAGTACGTAGACCTGTCGAGCAACAAGCTGACGGGTCTGGCAAGCGGCGACATTCCCAACAACGTGTCACCTCTCGCGTACCTGAGACTCGATCAGAACAACATCTCGGCTTCGATCCCTCGCTGGTTCGGGTCCCTCAACGCCTTGAACTACATGCAAGTGAATGAGAATCAGATCTACGGAGGACTTCCGCCGGCGCTGCTCGCTCTTCCGAGTCTCACATTCGTCAACTTCTCCAACAACCAGCTCTCGGGCCAGCTCGGGTCGTTCCCTTCCAGATCCCTCGTGGTCTTAGACCTCCATAGAAACCAGCTCACCGGCGCCATTCCTGACGACTACATCTCCAACACCCCCGCCTTGAAGTATCTGGATCTGTCGTATAATTTGCTCACGAGGACGATTCCTGCAAACTTGATGCAGTCGGGACTCAGCTTTCTCAATTTAGCCGGCAATAAGCTCTGCAGCTGCGGCGACATTCCTAGTATACCATTATTGTCAGGTTTACATCAATGGATCCCGTAGTCGATCCCTTTCGATCATTCTTCAGGTAGAATGTAAGCGCTCGAGCCACAGGTCCACGTCATGGCCTCTTCGGCTTATTAGAATCGTCGAGAGAAAATGGCCAGGCGGTTTTTGTATGTATGGATCAAGATTGCGCCTCAGGTCGATGGATTTAGATATCACGATGTGGCTGCTTATACAAAGCTCTCAATAACTTACTGATTTTCGTGTACGTGTTGAAGTTCTGGACGAGGTGTTGTCACTTGAATCTGTTGTACGTCAGTCCGATTGAGTCCGAGCTCACGCAAACTGTCATCGTTTGTAACTCAATCCTCGGCCTACTTCCAGCAGCTCTCGTGCAAATTGTTTATTCGCCACGAAGGAGAGTGCTGGATCTTGTTCCTGTAATCGTGTGTCCATGCAGCAAGAACGATCGATGGCTCGGACTGTTCAGCTCGTATACCAAAGATGTTTCTGTCCTTCTCGTGAGCCTGTGAAGATGCAACCTTGATCTGTGTTTCGTCTAGATCTGATTTCAGCAGCAGAAGCAGCTGACGCTGGATCTACTTTGCTCTTCAGGAAGGTTCAAGTACAGAGATATAAGACCATGACAAGACTTTCTAACACCTCTTGCTGTTGTACATGAGAACGACCGATCTGAAGCGAGAACCTTGATGCGTTGTCCAGTCGAGATTGCATTCGATCAATACGCTCAATTTCGCTCTCACTTTGTCGCTGCTTTTGAGTAGTCGGCAAACGTGGACAATGTCTCCCTTCCAAGGAAGATCAGGATTTTATCTCGTGTCGGGTTGATGCTACCGAAATAGGCAGCCTCAGTTGCCGGTTCTTGTCTCAGCTCCGAGTCAATTTTTCGTGCTTCCAGAAGTGAGATCGACTTCTAGATCACTTGCCTCAGCATGTAAAGCTAGAAATCCAAAGCCAGAGTAACTAACATTTCCTCGACTACAACGCGGCGCACTAATGTTGTGTACAGTAAAGATGCTAGTATGTGCATAACATTGTATACACTAACCTATTTATTGTCCTTTCACAAGAATTTTTCGATGGTAGTTCAACATCACGTCTACTAAATTATATGTCGTCTTGAACTTTACAAGCACTAAAGCACTTCATCTTTTTTATGTAAACCGCATTTTCATCGATTATTTTTTTAATGATCAATAAAGTATACATTCCTAATGTCTTCTAGGATGTATCTAAATCTTTCACATTAAACTTTCATTAATTTTATCTACAATAAGCGTGCTGTAGACAATGTAAGTTACATGTAGGATAATAATGTCATGCAATCATGTAAGTCTTCGTATGATATTACACAACACCCATTACGATGAAACAAGAGCTTCAATGATTTTAAACGTTTACAAGTTGTGAGAGAAAAGGAAAACAGAACAAAATTTACATGTAACTTACATTGTCTACAGCACGCTCATTGCAGATAAAACTAATGAAAATATAATGCGAAAGATTTGGATACATCTTAGAAGGTATTAGGCATGTATACTTCATTGATCATTAAAAAAATAATCGATGAAAATGGGGTTTACATAGAAAAGAGGAAGTGCTTTAATGCTTGTAAAGTTCAAGACGACATATAATTTAGTAGACGTAATGTTGAACTACCATTGAAAAATTCTTGTGAAAGGACAATAAATAGGTTAGTGTATACTATGTCATGCACATACTAGCATCTTTGTGTAAAAATACTTTATTACACAATCTTTAAGTTGTCTTCCAAAACTCATTTCATTCAGCCATCAATACATGATGTAATGACAATATCCATAGAATGAAGTACAGTATTATAATCAACATGAACATAAATAAGATCACATAATCGAGGTTTCATACTTTACTTTACTACTAGAGAAAAACTCAGTTATAAATTGCATCTTCCCTTTGATATGAAATTTTTGGCTACAGGTCTCATCTTGAAAATATGACTATTTGTGTCACTAGTTTCATTTATTTTTTTATGTGAATCCACTTACAATCTATCACTATTTTTTTGGTAACAAATCCTTGACTTCTGATGTTCTTTTGTTCAATATTGAATATATCTCCTTGTGCACTTATTCATCTCACTCTTGCTTCTTCCTAGAGGCCTCAACTTCAAAATGAAGATGATCCATCTTCTACAAGCAATGCATCATTACGAACTACAACATCAATATCTATGGCTTCAACCATTTCGTGAAGAGAGATCCAAGTATCATATCTCTGGAGGTCATGAGAGATAATTGTGATTTTTAGCTCTTTAGTTTGTTATAAGGATGATTAGCCATTAAAGATTTTTGATTGTCCAAGTAAGCTAGTTCAGTCTCTGGTTCATATGCAATCCGCTTCAATGATAATTTTATCATTGTGAGAATGCAAAGATCACTCTTAACTCAACTATGTTAGTCTCCCCTCAAATATATTTGAGATAAGTTAATTGCTCGTCATTTCTATAGTTTGAGATTTATTCCCCTACTTAAATATGGATGTATTGGAGGACACAATCCAAAACTATTGTTTTGGAATGAGAAGGATTCCAAATCCCAAAGGCCGTCGTTTCACGATGAAGTAAACGGAAATATTATATCTAGTTTTCTAACAATTTAATTAGTAATAGGGTTGATTCTAAACCTGGAATCAACTTGCTTACTACTCAGTAACTTTTTTACAATTTAGCAAGAGAGTATTAGCATACACATCACTAACCAAGTAGTCTAGAGTATTAATTCAACCATGTGTTGATAAGACGAGATGCTTATCAAACAACTCCGCCTCACTTAAGATTATCTAACATGTATTTGGCTAAGTTAGTACATATCTCTGGTTTCAAATCTGAAGATGGGATTGTAGTCAACACAATATTTACAATCTCCCACTTCAAGCTTAAATTTACGGACGCAGATCAAGAGATCAAAACCAACGTCATCTCAGATGTTGAGAAGTACAGAGTATATAATGATTGGTTCTTATCTTGAGTGATGTCGCTTACGTGCTTGCAAAAACCATGTTCTTAAAATGTGACATCATCGATTGCTAATCAGTCATGAATACTAGGAAGCGGTTAACGTTCATCTGAAACATTTCCCAAGAGTATAGATGGAGACGAATCATGGATACATTTTACGAATTCAAATACTTGAGAGGTTCATTTGAGCAAAACTAAGTTCGAGCACACAAGCTACGCTTTAGTCAAATGCTACAATTCATATTTCTAGCAGACGTTCGGTACGACAACGAAGAGAGAAAATATCAGTTTCACCACAAGATCTCCCCCGAATCATAGTGCCGGCTGTAGACCTGACAGGACAACATATTTGAGATAGCTAGGAATTAGAGGACTCCTACCGTCAATACCTCTTTGTGCAACAAGCTGCTCGGCCATTGTGATTTTCGAACTCTGATTTCAAGTTTCAAAAGTCGCATACCAGATCTTTGTAGTCATCAACATTTCGTTCGAGGAGACCCAAAATGCTCCAAGACAGTTAATACCTCAACAAGAGAGTGACCAATTCAGCTACATCTCCATATTTTGACAGAGGTCTCGACCCTGTCCATTTTCACATTCACATCCTGGGATGAGCAGGAGAAAGGAAAGTACTTTCCAAGGACTCCACGAACATGGTTAAGACATCTTTGTATTGATGGCTTCAAGCCCGCTACATGTTAATGCAGGTGATCCGCATCTTCAGGAAACAATTACGAAACACCATCACTAGTCATAAACAACCCTTCGAGGCTAGCTAAGAGTTACGTCATCATCTGTCACGAACAGAAAATTCAGTAAAAGGATAAAGCGATGAGCACTTGCAACCGGCACACTTAAATGTGGAGGACGTTGCACTTGAATCTAGATGGTGTAAAAACACAACTACTGTACCATGCAATCGGCAGTCGCACAAGGATCTGTTCGTACGAATAACAGTTTCTGGTGGCGACATATTTCTGCTCAGATCGCGAACAGTGAAGGAGACGACTCGAGGCTGACCAGGGAGGAAATACTGACTAGCTCTAACATTCAAGAGGTTGCGCGTCCTAACATTCTATAAAAATTCCACCTCCGTTCCTGTATGAGGTTGTACATAAAACTTATCAACTGAACGCCCTTACTCTTACACGCAAGCTGGTTGCTCAGAATGAGTAAATGCTAACTTGCTAAAAATCTGACTGTCTACTTGGACTCCAGGAGTTGTAGGAAGCTGTAGCAAAAGTGAATTGCTGTTGCTTCTGCTAAAAAAATGGTTTATCAACTTTACCCGGAATAAGGGTGCTCGTCTTCTGTACCTTCTTGTACCAATTCTACCGCGCAAAGAGCTTGTTTCCAGACCACATCACTTAGCGAGCAGATTTTCCACAGCTGTGATAATCTGGTGCGGTTGGACTACAGTAAGCTCTTCCAAGGGTCCAGAATAAGGAGTGGGTACATCCTGCGATGAAAGGCATCCAATAGGTGCATCGAGGTAGTCAAAGAAATTCTCCATGATTGCGGCCCTCAGACTGGCACCAATGCCACCAGTTCGCATGCACTCTTCAACGATGAGCACTTTGTGGGTCTTCTTCACCGAATTACCGATAGTGAACATGTCGAATGGCTTCAAAGAACGGATGTCAATAATCTCAGGGTCATAGCCCTTGTTTACGAGGGTCTTGGCTGCCTGAAGTACGTAGTGTCTCATTCTTGAGTACGTAAGAATGGTGATGTCCTTTCCTGGACGAACCATCTCGGCTTCCTCAAGGCAGCAAACGTAGTCTTCATCGGGAATGGTCTCCTTCAAATTGTACAACAACACGTGCTCGAACAGGATAACGGGGTTGTTGCTTCGGATGGCGGCTTTCATCAGTCCCTTTGCGTTGTAAGGTGTTGAGCAGGCAACCATCTGCAAGCCAGGTACAGACTGGAAGTAGGACTCCAAACGTTGAGAGTGCTCTGCACCAAGTTGCCTGCCGACTCCTCCTGGACCCCTGATAACACATGGGATGGTGAACTGTCCTCCTGAGGTATAATGCAACATTCCACAGTTGTTGGAGATTTGGTTGTAGGCTAACAACAAGAAACCCATGTTCATGCCCTCAATGACTGGTCTCAAACCGGTCATAGCCGCTCCTACTGCCATTCCGGTGAAGGAGTTCTCAGCAATTGGAGTATCAAGAAGCCTCCAGTCTCCAAACTTCTCAGCGAAGCCCTTGGTTACTTTGTAAGAACCACCATAATGACCGACATCCTCGCCCATCACGCATACGTGCGGGTCTCTCTCCATCTCCTCCTCGAGACCTTCCCGAAGAGCTTCATACAGAAGTAGCTCGTGGCTGTACATTAAACCAAGAAGAACATCATTGAATTAGAAACCGGCAGAGTAAACAACAGCTGCTTGCAATTAATTTCACGTAAAACACCCATAGTTTGCACTTACAGACGCTGCACCGTTAGGAGGGTAGATAAAAAGGGTAATTTGAAAAAGAGAGAACCTTACCCTGGGCCCTTTGCTCCAGTGCTGGCTGCTGCCTCTTGCTTTGCCTGGAGAGTTTGGAAAGAGAAGGTCAAACTTCAACCATGGACATGTTTCACAAAGGGTGAGACGGAGTTTGCAAGGTAGGAATATGACCAACCTTTGACATGGAAAAAGAATCGAGAGGGAGCTCTAGTATTTAGCTTGCAGGACCATGTGACTGTAACTCGTAGAATTTAAAAACTAGATCTTAATTCAAAAGGACGGCATTTCACACAGCTACCAAGGAAGCACAAATATTTCAGTCCACCAAAGAACAACTAAGTCGACCTTCTTCCACATTTTTATATGACCCAAGTGCGATCTACATGAGACGCTAGTGTATATTCACACTCACAGCGACGGCATTGGTAGTAATCTTCGGGGTCCACAGTTTCTGGGATGAAGGTCCAAAGTTTGCTGACTGCTCTGCACTTGAAGCACGCACAGCCAAACCTCTTCTCGATCCTGAAAAAGACAAAGTTACTCTGTCAGCCTCTCGGCAATCTCAAGGCATGCACAAGGCACAGAAAAAAATTGCAAGTGAGCACCTTCGCCGACAGCACACTGAAACAAGACGAGACATCAAACTCCCTTAGAAACTCACAGCACGGCCACCGGCGGATACCAACAGGCTGTGACGCCTACCAAATCCGACCATTCATTCTCTCAAAAACCCAACCGAAACTACAATGACGGCCGCGGAAGAAATAAGCTCCATGACAACCATTGTACACAAACAACAAGGTCTGACAACCACCCAAACTCGAAAGCCAACCCGACTAGGTCACTAATCTTGCGGCATTTTCACAAAGCGGACAACATGAGACGACCACAATGATCTCTAAACCTGCAATCGATCAGCTGATGCAGAAGAACCCGGTCCCGGCCACATGGAAAAGCCCACATCGCGCAATGAGAAGCAATCTCGCTTACCGAGAGCAGGCAAGGACGAAGAAGCGGTCTGCACACGGGCAGCAGAGTAGGAAGAAGAGGCCGAGAGCAGTGCGGCAGCCGGAACTGACACGGCCATGATTCCTTGAGACAACGCCATCTCCGCTGCGCTCGGGGACTCGCTGACGGGAGGGGAGAGCTCGGGACCCAAAGAACTTGCGAGGCTCCGGAATGCGAGAGCTCACAATCTCAATCAACCCTCGGGATTGCGCTCTGCGCGAGCACGACCTTCGTCCCTCGGCTGCTTCGATCGCAGGAGGCGCTGCTGGCGCTGCTGCTACTCGATCGCCCGCGGGCGCAAGGCGACAAAACGCCTGACGGGGATGGCGAGGCCGATCAACACACACCTGTCATTACTTGTCGTCCGCGGATGTTCCGAAGCCCTCATCCCGCGTCGGTCGTTGCTCCTCTGAACTGGGACTCTTCCCGGCTCTCGAGTGGCGTCCGACAGTCCCGCACTTCGCCCCCTCGGTTTTTCCTATTACTGCCTCGATTCTAACGCCTTTGCGTCCGCTTCACATTGATCACGTCGGATTCTAGTTCGGACCTATGGACAAGTCGGAGCCCCGATTATGGGTTTGGAAGTGGGCAAGAATATAGAACCAAGTAGAATAGCCATATATAAATTAAAATAGTAGATCACTTATCAAGCACTGCAGGGATAAAATCATATGGGTGATATTGACAGGGACCCAAAAACATTCCAAGGAGTGATGTTGTTTACGAATAAAAACAACATCTGAGAAGCATCACTCAAGGTATTTGTTAATAGAGATAGCATCAACTGATGCTTATTCTAGAACATAAAATTGTGTACAAATCATTTTTCTCATCTAGTATGATATGTTCTTTTGGACTATTTCTCTGAATACTTAATATGTAGAGTAACAAAGATGTGAGATTTGAATACCCAAATCTTTATTGACCTGTCCATTTAATTCCTTCACTTTTACACAGAATCACATGTATAATTGGTAGCCACCATATATGTAATAGTAAATTGGTACTTCCAAGTTATATATATATATGACTTGATATATATATATATATATATATATATATATATATTTCTCTCTTTAACACGAATTAAATACAAGACATATCACGTTCACACAAACATTCCAAGAAGTTCAACATCCCCGTCACTTACTGGATATAAGAATGAAAGAATAAGGAATGAATATTCCTCAAGACATGTACAAATTCTGAAGTTAGATAAGAAAGTTCTTTAGATCATTTGAGTAGTTCGAAAGGTACTCAACATGAAACGTTCAGTCCTCTCTATTCGGCTGTTGTTCGTTTCTCTTATTATGTTGAGGAATGTTTCTGTCACCGGGAAACCCGTCGAAGGCCGAAACAGGAAATTCTCGAAGTGTATAATTGGCCAGGACTTTGATGAAACGCAGCTACCACATTCCTGAAGCTGTGACTGTTGGCTGCTGTTGCGTCACAACCGTCACGGCCGATTGGCTGCATGATCGGGACAATCTCCAAGCCAGAACAAGTGGCTGGGACTAGCCACAAACGACCGGTCACCGGACAAAACCAAACCCGTAGTCGGGCTTTTTGTCCAGTACCGCCAGAACGGCGAACGGCCCGGCCCACCTTTTCGTCGGACAACGCTCACTCCTGACCGTTACCCGTTGGGTTCGTCCCGGTTCCGGCTCGAGTGGTGTGTGCTATATTTCTTGGCCCCGCTTTTGCCGTAAGGCTTGGAGTATTTCCAAGCAGAGCTGCTTTGCGGAGTTTTGCCGTCCGCAGAAGAACAGACGGGCCTGAGGAGACCGTAGAATGCAGTTGCGGGCGGCGATTAGCCCCAGGAAGCTGGGTCAAGACAGGCCGGTCAATTCCTGAGTCAATGGCTGGCGAGTCGGAGTCGCTGGGCCTCCGGCTCCAGCGCCACCTACTTCAAAAGCCCGCGGAAAGGCGCTCTTGCCGGAATGGCGCCAGGCCATCATGCCCCCCACCCCCCTCTCCCACCTGCCGAAGCGCAAAGCGTACGCTTGTTCGGTCGCTCATGCACCAACGTTAGTTTCGAGGCACGAAAACGGAGAATATTCACTTTCCTGCTCGAAAGCATGCAGACGGACTTCACTCCTCACCAAGGGACGGGGCAGCTTCATCGTTCGTCTGCTCTCTTCTCTGATACGTGCCCACAGTGGCAAGATATGGAGTCTTCATCGACCGAGATGGTTGGTAGAAAGGTGCGACTTTCGGGCAACAAGTTCGTTGATTAAAGCTTCTCGTAAAGCATGCTCTGGTGATGCGAACTAGTTTGAGATTCTTGGTAGGAACAAGCTTTTCTGAAGTTTCGATGTCTGTGTCTCTTCTCGAAAGGTATTCACTTCAGTTGAGCTGGGCAACACTTGCATCGGTTGACACCATCATAGCTTCTTACGGTTTGTGGGCCTCAAGCGTTTGCGAATTTTGTTCCAGGGGATTGCCATTGCTAGCTGGACGAAGTAATCCCATAAAACAAGCCCTCACTCAGCGAGTCTCGAAATGGAAAATGTCGCCAGCCAGGACCATCTAATATTTTACGGGTCGGAGTAGGGCATTCCAGATCGTCGGACACTTGAAACCCAGATATAATACTAAAAGTTTGCAAAAATGATTACAATGAATCCGAGATCCGTGGATGGGCGGGTGTCTTCGAATCAGATCGTCATCCACGGAAACTTCGATGATTGCAGTAAGATCCGTAGAGAAATAATACAGACGGAAGAGTTGGAAATTACATGGGCTATCGAGAACACGCACTCAATATAATGCTCACCCTCGACAGCTTGATCTCCGGATATAATCTACTATAAGCTATCGGAGGCACCAGAAGGACAGAAAGCGAACGCTCTCAGAGCAGTGCAACTAGAAGTCTACAAAAAGTTAGACTCGTGAATCTTGGGGCAAAACAAAAGAGTTACTAATACATGGACAATGGTCCTCATAACTTCAGACGGAAGGCACACATTATATAAAATAACAGGCTTGGCATGCAATCTAACCAGCCCAACCATTGCTAGTAGCCGCGGTGGCCGATTTCTTTCGGTCATCTTTGGCCTCCTTATTTTTCGCTGAAGCTGTTGTACAAAGAATACATCGCATGGGGGGAGAACCCGACTCCTCTTCGTCCTCGTCTTCATCCCCGTGAATGTACAGACTCGCCGTAGAAATTCCCTGTCCTATTTTGTACGCAAGATCTTTTGGTGATTCTTTTTTCTTCAGATCCGTCCCTTGAGATCGTATCCCTGAGGTGTCATTCAGACACGTGACATGGTAGGCATGACTGCAGAAGAAGGCCACCACTGCGACGTTCTGTAGAGCGACAGGATCCAGGCATATACAGCACAGCCCACTACCACTGATCGTAGAAAGCTTTCGCCCCGTTTTTGTAGTGCCACTCGGAATTTGGTCTCGGAGTCGCTGCATCGCTGGAGCTGGAGCGATGGAACCATTTTGGGAGTTTGACTGAGCCTTACCTTCCTCTTCGGTGCCTCCCACTCGGATCGCATGTCTCGCCTCGTCATAATATCTCACAAGTAAATCAACACAATCAGCCTACAGCACACCGATCACAAGCGTCAGACCAGCATTCTGTGAACCTCAAACAATGCCACCCAAGAGTTTTGTGAGAATCGTCAGACAAGAACAGAAGCCCTCGCTCTCTGCCCACACGGAATGGCAGTGACTAATCTTAAAATGCAATAATTGATTATCAGCTGACATGAAGCGACTATGCACATGCCCAAGCCATCACAAAAGGACGAGGTAAAGCACACAAGCGTTGCCTGCAAATCATGGTTTCAATCTGCATATGAGAAACATAACGTGAGACCATTTTGTACCTTCAAAATCTCATTGCATCCACGTCGTAGCGACGTCTCCGTTCGATAGTCGGTAATAATTTTCACCAGGCGGTCCCTCAAACTACATCACCAGTTTCACAATCAGTCTATAAAGCACCTTTCACCCGTGGTCGGTGACGAATCATCGAGCCAAAAAGAAAAAGTCTGACTGCAACTGATCTTGCGTTCGAGCACATTCTATGCTTCTCACCGTGGTATGGGGAGCCCGCAAGGAACTTTGTGGACTAGATGAAGCGGGTCTATGTTTCCAACCGTATGCTCAAGCAGTGCTCCGACCTGGAAGTTCCGAAATAAAGGTGGTACCGAGTTAGTATGAGTTAGGCAATCTAATTCATGAAAACTTCTAACATTACTGCGGCATAAACAAAACCGCCGAGAAATGGACTCTTGCATGGGAGACAACGCTACAGTATTACTCATATTCACAGGATTATTACTGGACTGCGAACCAGTTCTTACCAATTCCGGGTGTTTCAAACTCAGGTTGATTAGCTCTTCCCACAGCTCATCGTCATGCTGAGCGGTAATAAACTTAATAGCCTTCATAATCATCGATAGCAACTTAGTTAGAAACAGACAATCCGCACCGACGAGATTTAGAAAACACAGCAAAGATCAGCCCAAAGATCTTAGTTCGTACACCCACCTCCTCCATATCCTGTAGCGTGTTGATTATCAAACCTAATGCTTCCTTCACATTGCCCATTCTCCCGAGGAGAAATACTCTCTCCCTTGTCAGACCTCTCTTCGCACAGATCTCATACGCCTGCCATCAAACAGAAGGTACGATTCAGAGGAGTAAAATCACACTAGGGGAAAGCCTTCAAGATATGCAACAGAGATTCCATCGCCTGGTAGAACTTAACAACACAGTCCACCAACTTTCTGCATGAGTCCTCCTAACTTAGCGACACCAATCGATATTGCACCTTGTCGAGGTTGAAATGCTGACTGCTACGCAAAAATGGCAGAAGGAGTCGAGGCTCAAAATCCGCATATAACTCCACCTGCCCGTCAGAGAAAAATTAAGAAGACCCGAGACAAAGGATAAAATCACTATCAAGAAGGCCAAACTATTCACCTCAACAATGTCCACGTCAAATTTCGGCTACTACAGACCAATTTCATGAATATGATGATGCGTGGAAGGGGTTCACTGCTACGGACTGAATCCCCTTGTTTGTCAAGTCGGCTGAGTTTGGCAGCCGACTTGAGAACGAAGTTGCTGCACTAACTTAAAGGTCGTTCACCCTTGTCAAATATCCACATAAAACCAACAAAAGCACAAGGTACAAACGTGAGCAGTAATTTTAATCATAGACGAACAAGTCTAATATTTGAAGGCTTAAAAGCAACACCTGCATATTGTGGAAATCTTTGCCTGCGTTGGGATCCTTCTCGAACAATGCGTGTAAATAAGAGTGGAGCAGTTGTCTTTGATCCGGTCCAGCCTTCTTCAGCTGGCCTACAACTTCTGAAGCAGATATCGTGTCGCTTTGTTGTACAAGCAAAGCAACGGTTCTCTTTGCATTCAGTTTCATAAGGTTAACAACCTAAAAGGCAAATCACCTGAAACTCATCAGAATAGGTAACCCCTCAGATACAAGCGCTGAATCTATGAAGATACAAATAAGTATGGGGCAAATGGTTTCTGGGTACGATGAATAACTCAGCGGGACGCAGAACTTTGATGTCGTGAAGGAGAGAAATCCAAGACACAATGAGCACAAGGACTCCAAAGTTCCAAACAGTAGTTAGAAGCAAACAAATACATTTACGCGGACTACTGTAGGTGGTCCCATAACAGTTCCGATTCCGAAACCTGTGACTCGTCGTACTAGAGTTTCGGACTTACTTTGTCATGGATATCTGCTTGTAGATTGTGCTCCTCAATATATTCGAAAACGTCGGGCCTTTGCAGCTGCGCTCACAAAAGCAGTATGCAACGTTGGTCTTGTGGGTAAAAGCTTTTAGCGACAACAATCATACGTGTGAGAGTATACCAAATGGCCTTAGAAAATTTACTCGTAGGTTGTAACTAGCAAACTCAAGGTAGACTTACCAAACATTCGATCCTTTCTACCTGCAATTTGCAAATACTTACCTCAACAAATAACGCAAGTGCTTTGCTATACTCTCCATCCATTCTATATAATTCGGCAAGGACCTGCACTTTTCAAGAGGTCGTGTATCAGATGTAGAGGTTATAAATAACTGAAACGATTGCAATCGTATTGAACACAGTCAAAACTAGTTAAGCTAACTACAAGACATCTTCATCTGCAAGCTGAGCTTCCAAAATTCCGCATTTCAATTTTTTGAAAAGGAAAATAATGTTAAGTTCATTTTGACACGACACTCACGGCTTTCAAGAAGTCAGACTTTGAACTTGTACCAAGCTGCAGTTGAATAGCTGTGATGATAGTGGAATGCGAGTACAGAGTTGAAGGCCAAGTTCGAATCGTTGTCAACAATTGCTCGTGGTACGCAGAGTTTGTCAGAAGTGCATTCAGAACAACCTGCAGGGCATCTCGCAACGCTAAAGTATGAATTTCATCCAATATATCCCCTTGTCAAGAATAACTGACTACAGGTGTCCCTTGCATTAGCAACCCCACCTTACCCCACAGAGCAATTTAGAGAACTACGAAACAGGTGCAAAACCTACACGATACCAGCAGAGAAGATAAAGGTTTTCACACAAGTTTAGGACCACACTGCAGATGCCCTCTACGCCGACTCACCTCATAAATTGTATCTCGGAGTTGAGGATTCGACGTAGGGATGTAAGGAGCGAGAACAGGAAGTTGTCGCACATGAGCGAAAAGAAACACCCACCTGCCGACAGTAGGAGTTGGTCAAATGCTCTTGATAAATGAAGGACGGAAATGTTTCAGTGTTTTCATACAACGAAGTAATAATTCTATACCTTTCCCAAGCTGCAGCAGAACCTCGCAATAATTTTGGGCATAACGACGCAGCCTGAGCATACTGGCGTTCCAAAACCAGATGATCCAAGTATTTCGAGCCAACCTGCAACAAAAGGTCATGATAACGCTTCGTGAGTATCTTACGATGAAAATGGAGACAGAATCTTCCTTACATTTGATAGAAATGCCACAATAAGTCTACTTATCGTGAGTAGCTTAGAATGTAATGATCAGAGGAAACTCCAAAACGTTGCAAGCAAACAACTCAGACACACCTCCTCCATGCGCTCAGTAGAAACTTTGCCATCCTCGACAGCTGCTAGAGCTTTCTCGTGAAAACCATGCTCAAGAAGCCAATTCACATGGTCATCTGCATCCCTGCAATATTGCACCAGTCCAGGTTTCCATGTTCAGCTCATCCAACTTACTGAATCAAATATTTGCTCGTGCTGTTTTACGTTTGTAAATGCTAGACAGTACCAAATAAGGTAATTCAACGATACTCAACCCAAGAAACGTTGTATAAGGAATCTCTACATTACACTGACTGCTAACACTACGTGACTCGTATGTTAGTTGTATTAAAAGTTTCTGTTGCCAGACCTCGGTCTGGCGATAACAACATCTTTTGGTGAAACGATGTAGTATAAACGTTCGTCTCCAGCTGCCCACTGTCCTCCTGCACTGCTGCTGCCTGTGGGTATACATTAGATATGCAAATTACGACTTGTTTCACCGACCACAGAGGCTGAGGCTTTCTAACAACCACAAAAACTTGATGAACTCCCGTGTTTCGACTAGGCCAGTAGCTTACCCGAAAAAGGAGTATGCGCCAGGACGTAGTCCTTGGCTTTGTAGTGTTCGTAGCCGTGAATAGATAGAGCATCCGTTGCCAGTTCCTCGTTTGTCCAAGTTACGATCCGCACTTCTGGTCGATGAGCATGCCCCTGCTTGTTCGGTACTGTCAGTATTATGACATATACGAACGGACGTTCTTAACGTGACAGCTACTTTAGGTGAGAATGGAGATCAGCGCAACACTGTTTAAACTATGGCATGCCGTTCACTACATGCTATGGTTGACTGAATGTGCATCCTGCCTGCCTCTAAGATACAAAGAGATCTCCCTCGATGGAAACACTTTCAAAAGTGCTGACGCCATTGTTCTCTTTACCTGCTTTGTAGTAAGCAAGGCAGCAGCAGAAGTGGTAATGGCACCAGCAGCTTCAACTTGAGCAGCAGGAGCTGCAACTTCAGGAATGTAAGCCAAGACAACAAGATCATCGCCATTCGGGGCAAGACCTGATATGTAATACTCAGTCTTGATAGCGGCCTTGATTTCAACGTACTTGGACCCGCTTCCAGCACTGCCTTTCCGTCCAATCCCCAATATATCCCCAGCTGCAGCACCGTTCTTCCCATCTCCCGTCCGAAAGCAAGCAATTTTAACGCAATTGGCCCAGCCGAGAATCAGCGTAGCATCATCCTACAAAACGAATCGGAAGTTTAACAATCTACATCACAGAATTGAGAGAATTGTCCATAAGTCAATCTTCATCAAAAACCGCAATGGGCCTCCTCAATTGATCCTGACCTTCCAAACCAAGTGAGGACGCAATAATTCAGCTCGAGGGCTGTCTTTGGGACGTTCGATGAAGGTTATGCGTTGATGAGAAGCAGTATCATACACCTTCACGCCAAGATCATTTGCCCAAGCTATGAGACTTGTTCTCCACTTGACTGCATGAACAGGACCTTCTCCCGAGTGCAACACCTGTGTCCATCAGGAGCAATATCAGATCACTGCTCCTCCTTGGGACAAAAACTTTTTGTGCTGTGCACATTACAGTGCAGGCGTAGAACTAAGACAGTGCCGATGTAAATAGTAATGTTACCTGATCACGCGAGCCAAACCAGCCCTTGGAGTTGAACATGAGTTGCCCCGCCAACCCCCCAGCAGCGAATTGTTTGGATGCCTTTCTCGAGTAATCTGGATCCAAAGCAACTGCTTTCATTGGCCTGTGATATTCAAATTTCTCCTTCTCATCGGTGTACAAGCTGTTGATTACCACAGATCCATCATCTGAGCAGCTTCCAATGAACTCTCCGTCTGCATCGAAACTCAATTCATTCACGGTGGCTGAATGTGCTGCAAACCGTTTCACCTGTAAATGGTGAAAGAGATACAACAAATCACTGTGAGACAGCACATTTTTGAGATATACGACTTGTGCAATCAGCGACCTCAATAAGTGTGACCCGTAAGATTTTGAACAAGTTCATGCTATGTCTCGTACAGATATATGACGACCGTACAAATTACAGAATTATCAAAAAATTGGCAGAGATCGTCTCCAACAGCTAAACTAGGATATTCCCCGCCCACCCTACGTCCTTTGTAAGTGACTCAATTGTAGCTGCAACTCAGACATCTACGGCCAGCAACAGACATTCACACGATGAAGAGAGACGTGAATTCGGCCGGGAGGGGAAGGGCCCCTACAAATAGCTTTTCTGAACTCGAGAGTCATCGAGTCAAAACCGTTTCTAAAAATCTCGATTAGATCGTTAGTATGATATACTATCGATCTCATCATGTTTATGTGCTCATCCGTGTTTCATATTTGTCCAAATGGGTTACTATTTAACAAACCGAACAAGGCAAGATACAGAATTCAACGTCCGACCTTTCAATCTAGACCCTCAACGGAACCTCAGGACACTATGACAAGACCCTGAACGCTGTCAAGATGTAAAACTCTGATGTAGGTGCAACTTGCTTAAATGTGGAGAAGTGACAAGACTGGGGGCAATTCGTTTGTTGAGTTCACGATACTATTGACATTGAGCGAGGTTTCTTCGGCGGAATACTTTGCTCAAATTTTTGGCAATGATGATGAGTGCGAAAACTCTTACCTCATTTCCTAGATAATCGAGTAGATACACAGTTCCATCGTGAGTACCCAGAGCAATAATGCGTTCAGCGACAGTGAGGCAAGACGCAGCATCAGCAGAGAGTAGACTTGGCACACTCCCGCCCATCCGCTGATATTTCAACCTGGGTTCCTCTTCTTCGCTCGAAGCGTCTTCTTCTTCCTCCTCTTCAGGATCTTCCTCGTCATCAAGTTCATCGTCTCCATCAACACCATCGTGCGCAGCTGCACCTATGTGTTTTTTAGCCATTGCTACCACAAAGTGTTGATGGAGGCACTATGCTTGGGTTGCGCGTCTTCTTGTTTCTACAAAATTGAGGTCAACGAGTGATGAGCCGAGGTAATTCCTGTTACGATTTTGCAGAGATGTATGCAGATATATTTGAACCTCTTCTCTCTTCGCCGTTAACTGTGCCCCGCTTAAACGTGAATTTCCAAGTTCAGTATTATTTAGGTCACACCAAACTTTCTCCAGTAACAAAATTGTTGCATTAGTCTGGACACATATGCAGAAAAAGGTACCACTGTAATCAGCGCTTTACAAGAGAGTCCTGAATGATAAAATCCTTCGGATTTCGACTTTCACTGACTATACGGTTTTGATTGGCAACCAATTCCAACGTAATTTGAGCAGATCATACACTACAAATCCGAACTGGTAAATCCGTCGTTAAGCAACTTATACGAATTCGTCCCTCCTCTACCGCAGTACTGCTCATACAGATCGGCAGGAGGTCACAAACAGAGGAAACCAAGTATGGCTCTAGCAGGTCAAGGTTTTAGCTGGCTATGAGGTTCATCAACAAATCCATCGGGCTTGGTTTCTTCAACAACCAACGGATTAGCATGAAGCCAAGTTTTAGCACCCCAAAAAAATTGACTCCGAAGACGATGACAAGAACTATACTCAAAACGACCAATACGACCATTTCGTCAGCCTTATCTGTGTCCAAAGTTGTGGATTCTAAATACCACAGGAATCCAGTGTTCGAGTGTTTGAGCTGCTCCGCTAAATTCAGGTTGCATTATTCGAAATTACGTTCATTCTTACCCGGTTCACTAAATAAAAAACCAAAACTCTGTTACCCAATGCTCCAACAGAATGTAATAACCTCCGTTGAAACCAAACGCGGAAGTAAGAAATCAGCCGAATCATTGAAACAATTTACAGATCTAAGCTCCACACACTCCACGGCTCGAGGCAGAGACCTCCGCAATTCAGCCAGAAAAGAGAAACCCAGATCACGCGAAAAGCAAAAGGATGCAGAATTGATAGCAAAACCCACCAAAAGAACAAGGTCGAGAATGAACACTCCGAACGAGGATCCGAACCAAAAGGAGCATTCAGGATTTGCATGGATCTGCTTCGTCGAGCGCACGCACGCCCTCGCTTGCACAAAAGCGCAGCTGGCAGACAAACGCCGACGAGAAATTCGTGCGCCACTCCAACTGCTGCTGCATTTTCAATCCCGTCTACGAACACATTGCAGCTCCATGCACCGTGAAGAGAAACGAAAGGGCCGAGCGGGGGCCGAGCGGAAGAAGAGAAACGAGAAACGAGAAACGAGAGGAATCGAACGATGTCAAATCGAAATCTGACGAATCTCAGTTGCCCCTTTCTCGTCCACGCTGGGCATCTGTCTGTCTGCCTCTCAGATCGTCGGAGAAAAGACCTCCTGATCGCAGTCTGTGTCGCGCTCCCACTCACTCCGTTGTCTTGCAGCGTCAGAGGAGCGGACGAGGAGCGGGAGTTCGTCTGCTGGGCGACCCCCGAGTCCCTTGGCCTCCCTCCCTCCCTTCCTCCCCGCCCTCCCCTTCCCTTTCCTGGCGCTGCCACCTGTTCTGCCAACGTTGCCGTCTTTTTCTGCTTTTTTCCTGGGTCAGCAGCTATACGCCATTTGCCGATTCCTGTATTTTCTGGCCATGGCTCCGCAGGATTTGCCTCTTGCTCTTGTATTTTGTTTCTCCACTTTCTCTTCTAGTGCTGTGATTTTTCTCGTCTTCCTCCGACCGTCGCCTGAGGTCGTCGTCCGCTCCATTCTCTCAGGACGATCAGGGTTCACCACTCTCGGAATCCCCCTGCTCTCTCGGAAGAAGATCTTTCTCCATCAAAGCATTTCAGCGTTGAGAAGTCGATAACCAAGGAAGTGATAAACCTTATTTACTCGTCTAATTTGTCTTCATGCATCTCCCGATCTTCTTACGCGCAAGTACACATTACCTATTGATAGATCCAACAATGTGCTACTTTGTTGAGTTTTAAGCGATGAACTTCTAAGATTTCCTTGCGGCTCTATACATCTCTATACCACAAAACTTTCACTTATTGCAAAATGTCTTTTGATATCTTATCTTAGGTTGATTGTTTTTGTAAACTTTGCTTCTGGTAGACTTAAAGGGGGTGATATTGAGTAACATGATGTCTACTCTGAATAAAGATAATGAGGTTTGCAGCAATGTAGACGGCTTTGCGCACCAAAACTGGTGGGGGATTGGACAAATACTTAGTAGTTGGACCTCAAACGACGTGAGATCATCGGTGCTTATTTTAATTGAGGGTCCGAGATCGAGAGTGATAGCACACTGAGACAGTCATGGTTAGCATAATACACATATCTTTATAAGTGACGGTTATTCTTTTTGATACAAATCCTTTTTAACAAAGTGACTTAATAATTTATTTTAATGATGGATGTTGATTAAAACATTTTAACTTACACCCTTTATACAAAGCAATCATGAGTAGACTATATATTCAATATGACTGTTACATCCATAACATACCATAAAAATATTGGGATATTAAACTTTTCAACATTATGTCTTGATATATTTTTACATTAAATTAACTGATAATGATTTTATATTTGATAATTTAACGTTTTCTAGTAAAGTAAAATTAAACTAACTTTTGAATCACAATATGTAACAAGCATGCTTTCATTCTTAGTGAATATATGTATCCATATAAAATATGGTGCAACTTGCTTCACAACATATCCACCCTAGTATCACAACATGTTACAACTTTCGAAGTACTTTGTGGCTTCAATAATCCTCCAACTTTGATTGCTCTAGTTTTTTTTTTCTCCATAAAATACAAGTAATAAAATCAAATAGAATATGTTTTAAATCATGAGATGATTTTTCTATCAAACTCTTTGGAATCTGCACTTTCCAGTGAAAGTAAACAACGTTATGCATTTTGTAAAAGTTTTGGCAACTTCACACAAATGTTAAAGTTACAAGATTAACAAACTTGTCATGCATTGCAGAAAGTTGTCTTTAAGAAAATATTTTCTGAATTTTTTTAAAAAGAAACCTTATATATACTACTTTTCAAATATGACACATGAAAAAAAATCAAAAAATTATCAAGCATATGATATTTTAATGCTTCCACTCAAGTGTTGCAAATCATTACATGATATATAAGAGAATTTTTTTGATTGTGAATCTTAGATCAAGCCAATACATATGCATTGTGTTGAATAATAAACCGTCATTGAATTCAAATTTGTTTATGTGCCTACAACTCTAGAAAATTATATGGAAATTCATTCTCGTCATAAAATCTATAATTCATATTTGATCTTTTTTTTCATCAACTATACATAACCTATTTATACAAAAAAATTTGATTTTGATAGTCAACCGTGAGTGTTTAGCAATAATTCAATGATTCTTTATTGTAGCAGATTGAAAAAGTAATTTGGTTGAGTCAGTTTTGTGTTTATCCTTCATACAACATCATACAAAGTATGAATGATACAAATCACATTTTATTATAGTTATTTGATGACTAAATTATCTCTTTTCAGCTTGATCTTAGAATATGTAACATGATAAACTATGCATGTTTAATTTTATTTCTTATTTCCAACAAAATTTTTGGGGTTGAAATACAAGTTTTTTATACTATGATTGTCATTTGTATAAAATATTTTAATTTTCACTCTTCAAGCTCTATATCTTTCAATAATCTGTTAAATGTTGATTTTTTGAAGAAAACAAAAGAACTAACATGATATGAAACATAAAGACGTAACGATCCCTATAATCAATATCTATTCAAAAATATTGAGGGTCAAAATTTAATGACTACACCCTGAACCACATTTAAGATCAAAATTTTATCCAATACCAGTATTTTAATGACAATCATGTGTAATCGAGTCTTTTTTCTTATTTCTTTCATTTTTATTACATATGATAAATTTAGTTGGACACAACTATTTTTAAAAATTTTCAATTTATGCATAAATTTGTATACTTGATAATAAAACTAGTTATAATTTTTCTCAATCCAAATATATATTTTAATCAATATTATCATAATAATTAATAAATTTTGTTCATGAAATAAATTATCAAACACAAAATAAAAAATTACTGTAATAGTGACATATCTATTTATTTTTTCACATCTATCAAAGACATGTTTGTCTACATTAAACTTATGTAAATTAGTTTTTTTATTGTCAATATAAACTTATTATTATTTCAAAATATTAAAAAATTAAATATTTTATCAACTTTTTTATAAAATTTAAACATTAGGTAAATATTCAAGACAATTATACAAAAAATTTTAGTTTTTTAGCTTACAAAATTTTAAAGTCTTGCAATTGTTTTTTGCAATGAAATGATCATAAATTTTCACCTTAAAATTTGTTTTTATTTAAAAATTTATTATTTATATTTTAAATTTATTATTATTATTATTATTTTCATTTTAAACCTAATCATAAAACAAAATTTAAATCTTATAAAAAATGAATTTATATTAATTAATAAACATGTAATCTCACATTTATAGCTAAAATCATGAGTAAAAATGTTTTCTATGTACAAATTTTACTCATTAATTTTTTGACATGTTCACAGCTCGGCCAACGGCTATCTGGGTAATAATTCTTGTTAGCCAGTTAGTTTATTCTACAGCCTTTAGCTTAACGGCTCACATACTTTTTTTTATTAACTCCATTGAATATGCAATTTTGTAACATGAGCTTCGTGTTCGTCTAGATGAAATTGTTGCATACACAAAATCGTTCTACGTTGGCAATAACAACCTTATCCAATAACGTAATTTTAGATGGCACAAAGACCCCATGCACATCGTTGTGTTGCATGCAATGAATAACAATTGCAATAACAAAACCAAGTTTTGCCCACCATCCAAATTTTGTATTGTCGCATGATTCATTGTAACTCTAGGTGAAGTGCAAAGTGTCCATGATATCTTTTGAAACATCATCACATTCACTGTTTAATTCAGACATTGAATCTCATGATATGGGAATTGTCAAATTGATTTTTGTATATGTGAAGAACAATTAAAAGTAGCCAAGGAGTTTATCATGATAAGCTTAGATATAACTAAATCTAACTAGTTATGACTAAGTCTAACTAATTATAACTAAGTTTATATAGTGATGACTAAGTTTAGCTATTATGTCTATACTTGACTAGCAGTTTTGATTTGCACAACTATTTTTTTTTCTTTCAAAGTATAGATTTCAAGCATGATATACTTTGACTACATAATTGGCTTTCATTGGTTTGACTAAATAATGAGTACTTCATTGATTAGACTAAGTCTAATGTTGAATTAGTGGCAAGTGTAGTTTCTAGAAGTTTGAAAGGCTTGAATGACATATGATCACATCAACCTAGGTTTTCGGATACTTGTAGAAGGTTTAAGATATCAATGACATATTGCCAAGTATTCGAAACTAGTCAAACCTATCATGATTTATTTTTGTAAAAATAAATCATATAGTAATTATTATTTGTTACTATGATAATATCTTAAGTGATGAATGGAAAGAATATGTGAAAGAGTGTTTGAGACATGAGTATGAAGAGCAATCCTAGCCATGATGAGCTACCGCAAAGCCATTTGTGATAAACATGAATGAGAATCAACCGGAGCTTGTTGTCAAGGCTTGTAATTGATATGTGTGATCAAAGCTACACAAAATTTCTCGGTACAAGAAGATTAGATTATTGTTCTAAGTTTACTACTTATCTATATACATATTGTGAAGGTTCTAGAAGATCACATATTACTATCGTGGCTCTATCGTTACGTGTACATGTCACTCAAAGCATTCCGAAAGATTCTGTCACGTGTTTCTGCTGTGATTCCACAAACATGTGTACACATCGCTTAAAGGTTTCCAAAAGGTTCTGTCACAAGCTCTTCTCACTCGAGCACTTCAAGATCACTTCACGGAAGTAATTCTTGACAGTTGTAGGGTGGTAATAAGCATAATCTAGATGGTATTTTTAGACTTAAAAGATGTAACATTTTAATGTGTGCACTAGATATCATACTCTTGCCAAAGAATTTTTCAAAGCCATGTTGTCACAGAACCTATTTTTTCATCAGTCTTTGAAACCACAAGATTAAAAACGAGTATCAGAATTCATAGCGGGCCAATCAAATGCTCTTGATACTTCTCCAGCTTTATCATCAATTCTTTTGTGGCATACTTTGATTCTAGTGTAGGAAAACTGTACTCACGTTTTTGGATCGTCGCATGGCAGATCACACACAATTAAACTACAAGGGGTCAAGCATGTAGCCTACTTCCCTTCCTATTCCGCACGGCGCACGCGACAGGGTGACGCCGCGTGGTGGGTTCCTCTTTCCTCGTGGTCAAACAAGCTACCGCGGTTGCCTAGAGCGACCGTAGTTGACCAGGCCAACTGCGGTCGACAAGATGAACCGTGGTAGGCTAGGAAATTGCAGTTGGTGCAACAATAGAAGGCTTGCCAACTAGGGTCAACTGGACATTGTAGTTGGAAAGTCAAACACGTTAGGCAGAACAACCGGTGTAGGCGGAGTAATTTAGGTTAGCATAGCAACGTGTTCGACAGTGATTGTCCATATTCAACAATGACGGCCGACAATGACGGAAACGATCGATAGTCAACAGTGACGATGACAGTGAATCGCGAATGAAGGTTGCAGACGAAAGTGACTATTACGGTTAATCGTAGGCAACGATGACAATTGCGCGCGCAGTTGTGGACAGTTGCTGGTCACGGTCAGTCACGATTGTAAGTGCGGACAAACTAGCAAATCCATCATGTTGTCAAGAATCTTTTGTTTGAAAGATTTATCTGTCAAAAAGATTCTTTCTGATTGAAAAAATATTCCATTTTGTTGAGGTTAACTCCAGTTAAGGAGTAACCTCGGATCCTAGCTATTTATAGCTAGTACGGTAGTCTTGACAGGGGATAAATACCTCAGCTTTTGCCTTGTACACGAAGTCTTTCTGACAATACTTGGAGTAAAGTGCTGAGAGTTCTAGGTGGACGTAGCCCTCTTCAAGAGTGTGAACCACGTTATTATTGTGTCGATGTGTCTCTCTTGGATTTTCTACATACACATTTGGAAATATTTTGTCCACAAGAATATTTGTCCAAATGTAGTAAAATTAGATATTGGTGTAAAGCTCTCTACGCGATTGGTGTATCTGGACAATTTTCAGGAGTTGACAGATAATTTAGAAAGAGAAAATCCTTGCGTAAGCTATTTTCTATATCTAGCTTTTTTGACGGACTAAGATGACAACACAACAAGTCGTAAGATCTAGATCGAAAAGGATGATCTTTGAATGATGATCTATAAAGCTTATGTGTTACAAGCTATGAAATCTAATAATGTATAAGGTTCTTGTCAGTATTGATGTTTCTTTCAATGAAATCAATATCATTGATAATTCTTCATGTTATTACTCTATCATGTTTTGACTACGGCTTAGTTATAGTTAACTCTTTTCTAAAGAGAGTGCATTGTGTTAAATTTCTGTTTAGAACTTTCCACGAAATAATAATATAGATTACAGAGGTTATTGTTTCTTTAACACGAGTTAATGGATAGATTATTGAGGTTTTATCCTTATGAGAAATTAACCTCAACAATCTCAACTCCTGTTAAGGAGTAAACTCATGTACTAGTTATATTTAGCTAGAAGTATCGTTTGTGATGTGGTATATATATCTCAGGTTTGTATTACAGTACATTGAGATTACTATCACGCATGAATTCTCCGGTGGACGTAGCACTCTTGAGGATGAACTACGTTATACGCTTGTCTCCCTTGTGTTGGTTGTTCGTTTCAATGTTGTATCACTGATGTTTTTTGGATTTTACGTTTTCAAAAATTTGAAAATAAAATTTTTGAATGATTCGATTTATTTTACATATATTTCAAAAAAAGCAAGATAATAAAATCTCATCATTATATATAATATTAGTTTTTCTAAATTTCTAATGTGTTGTTGTCAACTAATATATTTAAAGTTTATTCAGGAAAAATATCGTTGTTTGCATAAAATTATTATTTTTTACTTTGTAAAAAATCTATTTGACATCAAATATATCCATATCAAATAAATTTATTCCAATGATTTTAATAATTGCAAACGATTATTTTTAGATTGTAGTAATTTTTTACTTTATTTTTGTTTTCAAAATTAAAATCTTCATCATCTATTGTTTATTAGTAATTCAACTCTATTTTAACTAAAAACTTTTAATCCAAGATAGTGTTTAAGCTTTTAATAGTTAGTCAGAAATTTGTTGTTCACTATAAAACGTGTTGTTCACGAGAGCTAACAAAAACTCTTCTAGCTGTAGATTTATTTGAATAAAGTCTTTTGGTTCTAGTGTACGTAGTCCAAAGTGGAAAATCAATGTGTAATTGTATCGATACATGTTCGTGTTGTCTTTTTATGTATGTCTATGCGTGAATTTGTGTTTGTATTCTTGGAATTTCTTGCAATAATAGATAATAATTATCATCGTATGCGCTTACGTTTTCACAAATATATGTATGTGATATATCTATATTTATTTTTTTATTTAGAAAAACATAAAAGTAAATCTAAATATTTGTTTAAACTATCAACTAGTATGTACAAAATTAGACATGGAATGAAATTTTAGCCAAAACAAGATAGATTTGATCTAAAAAATATATGACATGATTGTTATTTCATTTTACTTATATTAGAATGCAAATTTTTCATCGTGACATTTTACATAATCAGACCTATATCCAAGGAAAATCTTAAGTAACTTAATCATTTTATCGTAGAGTTTACATGAAAAAATACCAAAATATGAATCAGCTCTGATTTATATTATTTTCCAAAATATCAACTTATTTAAAATAAATAAATCACATTGAAGGTCAATTTTGTACTTTATTTTTATTTTAATGACAATCATGTGTAATCAAGTTTTTTTTTGCTATTATTCTTATTACATAAAATCAATGTAGTTGAACAATCATGTTTTTATAAATTTCTAATTTGTGCATCAATGTTTATAATTAATAACAAATCTAGTTATAAATTTTGTTCACTTAAATTGTGTTTCCTAATCAGTATCATCATAGGTTTAAAAAAAAAATGTGAAATGAAGCATTGAACACAAAGTAAAATTCTGATGTAAATTTGACATATCTGAATTTTATTTCACATGTATCAAATACCTTTTTCTCCTAGATTAAATACTTGTAGATAACATCTGTTTGTTGTTGGTGAACATTGTTTAATAATGCAAATTATTCAACACATTTGGATCTTTATTTTAATATTTGAAAACAAATGTAAACATTAAGTAAATGTTCATGACAATTATGAGCAGAATAGATTTTATTAGCCTAAAAGCTTTTTAGATCTTGCATTAAGGTTTTGAAATTTTTTTAATATTTTTTCACCTTTTATGTTTGTCTGTTTTTAAAATCATCAGAAATGTTTATGCTATATTTAATCATCAAAAAAAGTTAAGCTTATCAATACAAAATATATCAGAGTCATACTAAGCATGTAATCTCACATATATAACTAAGAGCATGAGATACAAAACTTTATTATTCATTAATTTTATGTATCACGTTTTTTTTTTTAATCTATCATAAAGATTCAAATCGAATATGTTTTCTAGTCTTAGCAAATTTTAAATTTTATATATTTTTTAATTATTAAATGTTTAATTTTAAATATGTTTCTAAAATAAATAAATAAATTTGAATATAAAATAACAATATTATTTTAATTAATAAAGGGAGCCGTTAGTCATCACTTATTTCTACAATTCACCACTCACCCTCATCCGGATACGTCCGGGATGGGTATTCGAAATGCTCCCATTCGTCCTCGGCACCTAGAGCATCAAGATACCCCCGCGGTAGTTGCTGGTGTAGTCGCTACTAGAGTTGCCGATGCAGTCACTGCGGGAGTTGTTCGAAGAAGTTGACGACAATTTCTCTTGTTGTGCCCCACTTCTCCGCAGTTTCCGCATCGACGTAAAGGCCGCAAAGAATTCTCCACGACCTCACGCGATGGATCATGCTGCGTAGAGCTCTGCGATTGATGTCCAAGAGCACCAACATGGCGCCCGCGGCCATGCTGAACAGACGTATTGAAAACTTCTGCTGCCGGTAGCACGTCGAGATGATCAAGGATTACTCCCTGCCGATACAAGGTTCCTTCTTCAAATTCTTCTTGGATGCGCTTCATACTCTCCTCGATTGATGTGGGTGCTACTAACACTACTTCTTGTCGAGGAGGCTGCACCAACCACCAGTGCGAATCAAAATCTTCAAGGCTCAGCACCCTTGGCGGTTTAGCGGGTGTTGCGCGTGTTGTTGCTGTTGCTTGTCGAAACTTGTGTCTGCACGACATTCCCATATTTGAAGTAAACATACCGTGACATTCCACGTCATTATCCTCATCGTTCTCCAAAGATGTACCAAGCTGCTGTTTGTGCTGTTTGAATGTTATCTTCAAGGCTGCAACAGAGACCTTGTAGGAAACGGCGGAGAAGACCGATCCGTAACCAAGACTTGTTGACGCCCGTTCCCTACTTGTTTGCAGTCAGATAATTGCAAGCTGATTGTCACAGGCAAGCTGGTAGGCAATTTCCACCGTCAACAAATCCCCGTGGACACTGCTCAACAACAATCCATGACTTGACTGCTGCATGCGCGCTCTCAACGCGCGCAGTTGTCGTGTAGTCAAAATCCATCTTGTTGCGTAAAAACACTACTACAAATCGGTACTTGTACAGCAGCCAAGTCTCTTCAAGATAAATCATGACATGGTGAGGAAGAATCTCTTGCATCCTAGTCAACTGTCGAGCGTACGTGACTGCAGTTTTTGACCTCACCAAGTTGTTCCGGTGTTGTTCAAGAACTTTGAAAGCTGCGATGCTTGCAAAGTTCTTTCGCTGCTGGGGGAAGATGTTTTTGCTTTTGTGCCATTGGATGGGCACACAAGAAAATTGACGTTGATGTCATCAGAAAATACAGTTGACAAAGTGTTCATCAAGGTCAGATCACGATCGGTGACAAACGTCTTTGGTACTAACAAGAAGGCAGCAAAAACATGTTGTATGTGCCACAACGTCCAGAGGTAGTATTTTGCGCGTTCCCCTACCATAAAACAGTAAGCAAAGATGAACGACTGATGCGTGGCCGTGACTCCGACAACGTGCATCAAGGGCAATCCAAAACGATTGGTCTTGTAGGTCGAGTCGATCAACCATACCTTTCTAGCGCAAAATCGGTAGCAGATTTCTTTGGCAGAAAGGGAAATGATCAGTAGGTGTGTCAACTGTCGTTGAGCATCAAACTGAGCAAAATAAGACGCATCAGGGCGGTCTTCGAGGCCGTCAAGCAGAGCAATAAGCGAAGAACAATCAGCCAGGATGCGCAGACGCTCTACTTGGTTGACATTGTAAACATCTCGTGGGGTTATTGAAACCCCACGAGGGCGCATGGCAGCCACTATTCTGACAGGTTTCTGTCGATCAATTGCCGCTTGGATTACTTCTTGGCGTTACTCTTCAGTCAGCGGGCATCCTTGCGGATGAACAGCTGGATCGGTAAAGGGTTCGTGATTGTGATCGTAGATGTCAACTTCAACTGCCCAGTAAGCTTCTCCATCTCCATCTTGTTGCGCAAAGCCCTGAACTACACGATTAAACATACAACCTGTACCACGACGGGCATAGACGCGTTTGCGTTGATTATATTTGGAGTTTGATGCTGCTTTTGTTGCGCAGGAACACTACAAAGCAACAGCTTTGAGGTCATCGTCTTTGTTGTTCCCGACTCGCCTGGTGTGAAAAAAGTCACGATCGGCAACGTGTGAATTTAAAGCCGCGCAGGCAGCATTTAGACTAGAATAGGTTCTTAGTCACAATCCATGGTGATGTAAGTGGTGCTTTAGACGCGATTTTGGAATCAACTATTTTAAACAACTCTAGCAGTGATTGCATCGGCAAATTTAACCGCGACTACACCAGCAACTGTCGCGAGGTATCTTGATACTCTCGGCGTCGAGGATGAATGGGAGCATTTCGGATACCCAGGGGACGTGCTAAAAATGAAGTATGAGTGATGATTTGCGACTCCCTTAATAAATAATTGTATATAAAATTTGTAAATTTGTTTTTATCATATGTTAAATACTTTTTTTTAGATTTTTCAGATTACTATTAATTTTTTCAAACAAATATGAAGTTATTATTATTGTGTATCATTCAAGAAATTAAAATTTTACTTTATTTTGGTAAAAGAAAAAACATTTAGTTAATCTACATGAGAATGATCATAATTTAAGTAAATGTATTAGTTAATTATTTTTTAAAGTACTGCAATTATTTTTTAAGATATTTGATCAAAGATAATCATGAATTTTCATCTTGTATGTTTATTTCTATTGATATTATCATAATTGATAAGTTCCTATTTGATACTTTATATTTAAAGCTTAGCAAAATTAAATTTTTATTAAATTTCACAAGTATATAAGCTCACATGTGTAACTAAAAAGCATGAGATTGAAAATTTTCATTATTAATTCTTGATTTTTGTATCAGAATGATCAAATATATTCTGTTCTAAATTAATTAAAAATCATAAAAATATTAATAATTTTTTTTTCAAACATAAATAGTTTAACAAAAGTATTTTTGAAATTTTGTGTTTCTTTCTATTATTTAATATTTTTTTTCAAAATATATACAAGTTCTATAAGTGGAATAAAAAACTAATAAATCTTACTAATTTCCGTACATTTTTTAATCTAAACCTATTTTACACAAGTCTGATTTTGTTAATTCTTTATATTTAATCAATTTAAATTCAGAAATTATTAATGTTAAATCATTTTGTTCATACTTTCCATACATCAAAGATATATTGATATATTTTTTTGATAAATGCAAGATCATAATGCTTTATTTTTATTTAAAATAATGTATGAAAATGTTTTGTGCCTTTCAATGCTTGTAATCAAACAATGATAACATTTTTTGGAACTAAAATGATTAATCATACATCAATATTATTGAATTTCTTTATTTTTCATGTTTTTAAACTTGCTGATTAATGTTGTGTGCTGGTTGCAGTGGATAAGAAACTGAAGACTGAGATAAACATTATTGAAATGTGCATGGAAGAAAATATAATTGACCACTACTAGGAAAAAAACAAAAAATAAAGTCCAGTAGATAATATATTATTACTTGAATATACATCAAAATTTAAAAAAATTGAAACTTAAAAAAGTTTATGTACAATTCTTTTAAAATCTATGTACAAACTAAAAAGATGTCATTTACATAGGCTTATCTTTTTTCCTAAATAAGCTAAGTAACTTAGAAAATAATGATAAGAGAAAACTCCAAAATGTTGCAAGCAAAAAACTCAAACACACCTCCACCATGAGCTCAGTACGAGCTTTGCCATCCTCGACAGCTGCTACAGGACCCTCTTGCCAACAATTCCTACGAAGCCAAGACACATATTTATCTGCATCCCTGCAATAATGCACCAGTCCAGGTTTCCATGTTCAGCTCATCCAACTTACTGACTCAAATACTCTATTTGCTCGTGCAGTTTTAGGTTTGTAAATGCTAGACAGGACCAAATAAGGCAATTCAACGATACTCAATGCAAGAAACGTTGTAAAAAGAACCTCTACAATGCACTGACTGCTACCACTACGTGACTCGTATATTAGGTGTATTAAAAGTTTCTGTTGCCAGACCTCGGACTGGCGATAACAATATCTTTTGGTGCAACGATGTAGTATAAAGGGTCGTCTCCAGCTGCCCACTGTCCTCCGGCATTGCTGCTACCTGTGGGTATACATTAGATATGCAAATTATGACTTGTTTCACCTACCACCGAGGCGGAGGCTTTCTAACAACCACAAAAACTTGATGAACTCCCGTATTCCGACTAGGCCAGTAGCGTACCCGAAAGAGGAGCATGCGCCAGGACGTAGTCCTTGGCTTTGTTGTGTTCGTGGCCGTGAATAGATAGAGCATCGATTGCCAGTTCATCGTTTGTCCAAGTTACGATCCGCACTTCTGGTCGTTGAGCATGCCCCTGCTTGTTCGATACTGTCAGTATTATGACATATACGAACGGACGTTCTTAACGTGACAGCTAAGGTAGGTGAGAATGGAGATCAGCGCACAGTTTTAAAACTATGGCATGCCGTTCACTACATGCTATGGTTGACTGAGTGTGCATCCTGCCTCTAAGATACCAAAAGATCTCCCTCTATGGAAGCACTTTCAGAAATGCTGACGCCATTGTTATCTTCACCTGCTTTGTAGTAGGCAAGGCAGCAGAAGTGAAAATGGCATCAGCAGTTTCAACTTGAGCAGCAGGAGCTGCAACTTCAGGAATGTAAGCCAAGACAACAAGAGCATTGCCAAACGGGGCAAGACCTGATATGTAATACTCAGTCTGGATAACGGCCTTGATTTCAACGTACTTGGACCCGCTTCCAGCACTGCCTTTCAATCCAATCCCCAATATATCCCCAGATGCAGCACCGTTCTTTCCATCTCTCGTCCGAACGCAAGCAATTTTAACGCAATTGGCCCAGCCGAGAACCAGCAGAGCATCATCCTACAAAACGAATGGTAAGTTTAACATTGTACATCACAGAGTTGAGAGCATTGTCCATAAGTCAATCTTCATCAAAAACCGCAATGGGCCTCCTCAAATGCTCCTGACCTGCCAAACCAAGTGAGGACGCAATAATTCAGCTCGAGGGCTGTCTTTCGGACGTTCGATGAAGGTTATGCGTTGATGAGATACAGTATCATACACCTTCACGCCAACATCATTTGCCCAAGCTATGAGACTTGTTCTCCACTTGACTGCATGAACAGGACCTTCTCCCGAATGCAACACCTGTGTCCATCAGGAGGAATATCAGATCACCGCTCCTCCTTGAGAAAAAAATATTTGTGCTGTGCACATTACACTGCGAGGCGTAGAACTAAGACAGTGCCGATGTAAATAGTAATAATACCTGATCACGCGAGCCAAACCAGCCCTTGGTGTAGAACATGAGTTGCCCCGCCAACCCCCCAGCCGCGAATCGTTTGGATGCCTTTCTCGAGTAATCTGGATCCAAAGCAACTGCTTTCATTGGCCTGTGATATTCAAATTTCTCCTTCTCATCGGTGTACAAGCTGTTGATTACCACAGACCCATCATCTGAGCAGCTTCCAATGAACTCTACGTCTGCATCGAAACTCGATTCATTCACGGTGGCTGCATGTGCTGCAAACCGTTTCACCTGTAAATGGTGAAAGAGATACAAAAACCACTGTGAGACAATTTTTTGTTGAGATAGACGACTTTTACAATCAGCGACCTCAATAAGTGTGACCGGTAAGATTTTAAACTAGTTCATGCTATGTCTCGTACAGATATATGACGACCGTACAAATTTCAGGAATATCAAAGAATTGGCAGAAATCGTCTCCAGCAGCTAAACTAGGATATTCCCCGCCCACCCTACGTCCTTTGTACGTGACTCAATTGTAGCTGCAACTCAGACATCTACAGCCATCAGCAGAAACTCACACGATGAAGAGAGATGTGATTTCGGCCGGGAGGGGAAGGCCCTCCTACACAGAGCTTTTCCGAACTCGAAGGTTATCGACAACCAAAACGTTTCTAAAATTTCGATTAGATCGTTAGCATGATATACTATCGACCTCATCACGTTTATGTGCTAATCCGTGTTTCGTATTTGTCCAAATGGGTTACTATTTAACAAACCGAACAAGGCAAGATACACAATTCAACGTCCGACCTTTCAATCTAGACCCTCGACGGAACCTCAGGACACTATGACAAGACCCTGAACGCTGTCAAGATGTAAAACTCTGATGTAGATGCAACTTGCTTCAATATGGATAAGTGACAAGACGGGGCAATTCGTTTGTTGGTTTCATGGATACTATTGACATTTAGAGAGGATTCTTCGGCCGAATACTTTGCTCAAATTTTTGGCAATGATGATGAGTGCGAAAACTCTTACCTCATTTCCTAGATAATCGAGTAGATACACATTTCCATCGTGAGTACCCAGTGCAATAATGCGTTCAACTACAGTGAGGCAAGACGCAGCATCAGCAGAGAGTAGCCTTGGCACACTCCCGCCCATCCGCTGATACTTCAAGCAGATTTCCTCTTCTTCGTTCGAAGCGTCTTCTTCTTCCTCCTCTTCAGGATCTTCCTCGTCATCAAGTTCCTCGTCTCCAACATTCGTCATTGCTACCACAAAGTGTTGATTTTGATTGGCAATCTCTCACCAATTCCAACGTAATTTGAGCAGATCATATACTACAAAGCCGAACTGGTAAATCCGTCGTTGAGCAAATTATACGAATTCGTCCCTCCTCTACCGCATTACTGCTCATACAGATCGGCAGGAGGTCACAAACAGAGGAAACCAAGTATGGCACTAGCAGGTCAAGGTTTTAGCCGGCTATGATGTTCATCAACAAATCCATCGGGCTTGCTTTCTTCAACAACCAACAGATTAGCGTGAAGCCAAGTTTTAGCACCCCAAAAAAATTGACTCCGAAGACGATGACAAGAACTATACTCAAAACGACCAATACGACCATTTCGTCAACCTTATCTGTGTCCAAAGTTGTGGATTCTAAATACCACAGGAATCCAGTGTTCGAGTGTTTGAGCTGCGCCGCTAAATTCAGGTTGCATTATTCGAAATTACGTTCCTTCTTATCCGGTTCACTAAATAAAAAACCAAAAATCTGTTACCCAATGCTCCAACAGAATGTAATAACATCCGTTGAAACCAAACGCGGAAGTAAGAAATCAACCGAATCATTAAAACAATTTACATATCTAAGCTCCACACACTCCACGGCTCGAGGCAGAAACCTCCGCAATTCAGCCAGAAAAGAGAAACCCAAATCACGCGAAAAGCAAAAGGATGCCGAATTGATAGCAAAACCCACCAAAAGAACAAGGTCGAGAATGAACACTCCGAACGAGGATCCGAACCAAAAGGAGCATTCAGGATTTGCATGGATCTGCTCCGTCGAGCGCACGCACGCACGCCCTCACTTGCACAAAAGCGCAGCTGGCAGACAAACGCAGACGAGAAGTTCGTGCACCACTGCCACTGCTGCTGCATGTTTTCTACGAACACATTGCAGCTCCATGCTTTGTGAAGAGAAACGAAAGGGCCGAGCGGAGCAGAGCAGAAGAAGAGAAACGAGAAACGAGAGGAATCGAACGATGTCAAATCGAAATCTGACGAATCTCAGTTGCCCCTTTCTCGTCCACGCTGGGCATCTGTCTGTCTGCCTCTCAGATCGTCGGAGAAAAGACTCCCGATAGCGGTCTGTCTCGCGCTCCCAACTCACTCTTGTTGTCTTGCAGCGTCAGAGGAGCGGTTCATATGCTGGTCGACCTCCGAGTACCTCGGCTTCCCGCCCTTCCCTTCCCTTTCCTGGCGCTGCCACTTGTTCTTCCAACGTTGCCGTCTTTTTCTGCTCATTTTCTGGGTAGCAGCTATACGACCTTAGGCCCAAACCACACGACCGGCACCGGCAAAGAATACTCGACTCTCATTGGCAGGACTGCTGCCCCCCTTACCACACGGGAGGGAGCGGCAATTAGAAAAATCCTAGGTGGCAAAAAAAACTATCGTTCCGGAGTACCAGGCACTTCCGCCCGGAAACCCGATTTTTACGGAAATTCCAACTCCACGTGGACATTCGCGCCTTTTACAAGTTTTCGAAGAGCACTTCCACTTGATAGGATTTCTCAAGATTTTCTCGACGCGATGGAGTCACAGGGAACTCCGCCGTATGATTTCACGAATAATGCATCAGGTTCCAACTGTCCGGCTATGGGATCGGATAGCAATACGCAGGGTAGTACTACCATTCCAATGTCGCCATTTTTCGGAAAGTTTCCACACCCAGGTTTTATTTTTCCACAACCCTTCGTGCATTCACTCCCGGGAATGCACTTTCCACCAGCAAGTAACATTTCTGCGAGCCTCCCCGTTGGATTCAATACTGGTAATGAGAAAGTCGAATTAAGTGAAGTTGATGCTATACCGACGAAAATTAGCAAGAAACGAAGAATTGCTCGTAAAAAACCTGAAATTACTCAGGTGGATGGCGTGAAAGAGGAAATCGACGTTTCAAAGAGTAATGTGCTTTGGAAGGATCATTGGATCATTCAACTGATTACACTGCGAGGAGAAATGCATAGTGCATTTTCAGCCCCGCCAAAGCAAGGTGAGTCGCATATTCATTTACTTCAGTTGCTGCCGTGATAAGTATATTGCACGATTCGAAACAATTGCTCGCCCAACATTGTTTATGGCCACGAAATCATCGTTGTTCTTGGATTGTAGATTGCTACATTCTTAGATTAAGTTTCGATCAGTTACATAAATCAAGCTCTGCCGGACAGCGATGTGTTCGCTGCTGTCTTTCTCCTCGAAGAGTACTGCTCGCAGTCCTCGAAAAGTCGTTTGCAGGTAGAGGACTGAGATTATATAGCAGCATGTAGATGTACGTGAAAGCACGCAATTTACGAGTATCTCGGTTAGTGTCTTTGGGATATGAATTACTGGGGGTATAGATTAATTCTCAGAATACTTCTACCCGAGCAGTCCAGTAGGCATATAAGAAGGTGCAGTGCATTTCCTGAATGGATGTGTAAGATTCGAAACTATCTGAGATTCTAACAGATTAATTCCGAGATCATATTACTTGCAGGAAGTAGGACATCTGAATTGTAACCGGCAGGCTTTGACTGAGTGTTATTTCACGCTTTCAGATGACAGTTTCACTTTGAGATTCATACTATCTACTTGACTATCCGAATAACGAAGTAACAAAACATTCAAGCAAACTGTGAAATCCATTTTTCCTTCATAGCAATATGTACCACTACAATCTCTTTACTTACTCGATTTCAAGATTCTCCCGTGAATGTGTCCATTTTGTGGCGGGTTCAAATCTTGGTGGGTTGGCAGGCAGAGCCATATCAACTTCCCTTCGTTGTGATCTCCAGTTGTCCATACCGTCTTGTATCTGTGCACATGAACTTAGGAAACTTATAAACTTATATACTTAGAAACAATAACATTAGAATCGATTTTGAAGAATTGTCTACAGTCGATACACTAAATTAGGTTGCAAGTTTTTTCTTACACTTCGTTCGCATATCAGTTATTGTTACTATTGTTCAGTATGCTTAATCTAATGCTTTTTTAACAAGGAACAGTAGTGCATGCTTGGTAAAATCCATGTGCTTCACATGGTCAGCTTTTATTCTGAGTTTACATTCTGAGCTCATATCATGTGACGTCTATCAATCATAGGTTGTGATACAGCCTTAGACAGCTTCTGTACTTCTTTTTTACAAAATGCATTCAGCATAATTTGAAGCGTGCATTGTAGAGCTGGAGTGGCGTGAGCACGTACTCTCTAAGCTAACTCTAGAATAATCAGCTTTCATGTGATTAAGCTTAGAAGTACACCAGGTCTGAAAGTTGAAGAGGTAAAACACAACCTTCTAAACCTGTTGAAATTTAATCTCTTGCGGGAATACCACTAAGACTTCTTTGTTCCAGATAGTTATTCAACACATTACTTCTACATTGAGTACCACCAACTATGACTTACGAATGCCCGTCTAAAGTGGTAACAATTTAGACAACCTCCACCTCTACTAGCAGTTTGACGGCCGTAAAAACCAAAAAGCATTTAATTGTTTGTGCATTAAGAGGGAAGTCTCCATCATCAGTCTTCTTTCTTATCCTCAGTGTTTGTCTCTTTATTTCTTATCAATCTTGCCCTTTACCTTGCTCTGGTGGTGTACTGTTTGTGTTTGACAGAATAAAGGACCTGTAGTTTAAGCTATGCATAATCCTGTTTTATTTCTGATTCTACATTTATTCTCTAGTTACCTGCGTCTAGGGTGTAAGTGCCTCTGGTCAGTACTTCAGCCTTTCCTTGCCTTGAGAACGCTCTGAAGTCAACATGTTCGTATCAGACCTCTAAATACGTCGAAGCCGATTTCGCGATTGGACCTATATCTGAAAATTATACACACAAGAGATCTTTACTTCCAGTTCTCAGCTAGAATACTTGTGACTGTCGGGTCTATTTATCCTGCATGGTTCCCAAAATGTCCTTTTATTAATGTTCGTCAGGGATGATCCAGCCGCCTTTGTTCAGTTTATTGCAATTATACTGCCGATTTGGACGAAAGGTGTTCTCGTTGAGTTTTTCTTTGTCTGGACTGGTGAAGTTGGTTGTGGTTTTCTTGTTGCTACTCCTCTGTCGTAGGGAAATGTCGATACCATGGTAAGATGATCAAAGATCTGTTGAACCAACTCTTCTCAGTACACCCGGTCTTATTTACTGTGACAGGGTGGAATCCTCAAAAAGCTGTGACATTTCTTGACAACCATGATATTAGTTCAACTCAGCGACATTGGTGCTTTCCTGACAAGAGGGTGGTGATGGGATATGCCTACATCCTGACACATCCTGGCATTCCTTGTATTGTAAGCAGCACGTAGACTGAAAATCCCAGTCACTTCTAGCTATATATGGCCCCAAGGCTGAGTAACTTGTACCAGCACACACATAGCACTATACACGATTTTTTTATGTTTCTGATGTCTCAGCAAACATGTACACCCGATTGACTTCACTTAATTTTAACAGAAAGAACTTATTTCTTTCTTTCAAATTTATTTCACAACTTGTTACACCTACTTCGAGCTTGTGCTGCTTGTGCTTAGGTGTTGATAATTCTTCTACGTTGGATACATATGCTACTGGATCCGGTGGTTGTTCTCAGGCTTCTCTTGGCCACAGGCCGCCAAGAGTTGTGTACAAATCGGATATTTGCATTCCATGCTTACTTATAGGAGCATATAGATTGCCTTCAAACAATGCATCTACTAGAAGAGTCACAGATTTCCGAGCTGGTATACAACAGGATCCTATTATAGAGTTTCTTTTCTATTGCATACACCATGTATGCCTACAGTGCCTAAAATCATCATGAAGCAGTCAATTTTTTCCCCATCGTTCTGTCAGTTGATGGATTCTGTCTAGTAGGTATACCTTGTGTGCTACGAACAAATGTGCTCACATATCTTTGTACAATATCTAGAACTGCGACTGTTTGCACGCTTCTTTTGTCTTGGCTTTTGGTTTTGAAGTTGACCAGAAACAGATACTGCACATGATCATAAAAGCTATGCTTAGTGAGTTAGTAATTTAGTGTATGTCAATTCTCATTGATTGTGTTTTTTAATACAATCTTATGCGTTTGTGTTTTGTTCAGGTGTCGATAATTGGTCACGGCTTCACACGAAGCTTGTGTCCATGTGTCCTGATTTCAATAAAGACAGTGAAGCATGTAGAAAAAAATGGAGTTCCATCTATACCGAATACAAAGAAGACAAGGCAATGAATATGAAGTCGGGATCGCAACGATCGGAGAAATGTCGATGGTATCTCTTGGTGGACGAGTTTATGTTTGACAGGGCAAACGTAGTTTTACATGCCCATGCCGATGTTATGGACGGAGATGGAGTGAAGTGCAGCGTCACTTCGGAGACAAATACAAAGGAGCAAAAAAGTGGGGAGAGTTCATCAAAATCACCGGAGCCTAAACGAAAAGAGGATTTGTTCTTGGAAAGATGTCTTGGAGAGCTGAAAGAGAGTAGTAAGATTATGCTAGAGAGTTTGAAGAGCAATGATGATATAAAAATGGCACTATTAATGAGTATGCAAAAAACCATGGAGAAATTGGTTGATAAACTCTAGTTGAAGAATAATTTAGGTGGACAGTATGTAAGAGAAATGGATTTTAGATTATTCTTTATGTCTTCACGACATGAAATGACAATGTGATACTTATACTAATACATTGTTGATTTGTTTGGTGGTTTTTCAAACCTTTTGAGTTCTGTTTGTTTCTTTTTTCAAAAACTAAAGTTGGTTGATTCTTCTAGCACTTTTGAGCCTGCTTTCATGTAGAGTAATGTTTGTATTCATTTGTATAGAGTTGAAGCATGTACAAGGTACAAGCTTGATGTAGCATAATGTCTGCATTCATTTGTACACCAATTTGAACGATTGGTGTCATGACTAATCAGTGTGAGAACCAGAAAATTACTCTTGTCCGAAGGACAGTACAGTACTTTCTCTGACCTGTTCTGATTTCTTTTGCTTAACTTGTCAGTAGTGCATTAAAATACAAGGTGAAACAGTGAGTTCAAAGTGTGTTGATTGCGCATGGAATTTAGAGTGATAATAGATTTCTCTGATTATGAAGCATGTACTTGGATCAGTATATGTGGATTTTATTATATGTAGATATTACGTTAATCCTCATAACAGATGTCTAACGCCACAAGTCTAAATAGTTCACTAAAAAATTTACTACTTGCTAGCTTCAGAAAATGCACCGAACATCAAATACTAGGCTAGACTACTCAACGTCCATGGGAAATGTTTCTGCCATACACTCTCCTGTTTTTGCCATCCACAAACTCCTGGCAATGCCGTTCCGCCTTGCAAACAACTCCTTTGCAGTTTTACCTCCAGTTGTCATTGAAATTTGAAATTCTCTTGCGATCTCCTGTTTGAAGTACTCCAATGTTTCTCGAGAGTTGTCTTCAATTCCAGCAAGGCTATGTAAAGCATGGTTAGCCACTGCAAGCTTCTCTTGTCTCGCAGGACCCGAAGGTGTCATAAGTGACAATCCATTGTGCACTTCATCTGATGCCTCTTGCAACCACTCTGTTTTCCAGAAGTTGTCTCCTAGGATGATGCACATGTTATGTAACACAAGGCAAGTACTCACCAACTCAGGCATGTTCTTCAGTTTCACGTCAACTCTTTTTAACAATATTCGCCACCTACCCTTAAGCATTCCAAATGCTCGCTCAATGCACATACGAGTGGAACTCTGAACAAAGTTCCAGTTGTATTCCTCTCGAGTTAGCCCGTCTTTGTGACCTCTAAAAGGAGCTAACATCCAAGGGCGGCATGGGTAGGCCGCATCTCCAACCAAAGCATAAGGCGCAAGCTTTCCAGCTTCGCAAAATTGCCCAATTGCGGTTCTTCCCCATAAGTTAGCGTCATGCATGGATCCGGCCCATCCTATGTCAAAATCCCAAAATAGGCACTTGCTAGATACAACACCTTGCAATAGTATAGAGTGAAATCCTTTACGATTGTAATAATCAGCCGCATGTAGACTAGGTGCCACAATTGGTATGTGAGAACCATCCACCGCACCAACCACATACGGTATTCCATGAATATCTTCAAACTCTCTAGCAAATTTATCCATAGTGGTGGTGGAAGGCCACCGAATGAATCTCTTGAGAAGTAGCAATTTCACAGCATGAGTGAACTGATTAACAGCCTGTTGACTTGTTGAAAGACCAATCCTATATAAATCCGCAATGCTCCGCATGGAGTTACCTGTGGCCAATCTTGAAATGGAGACCGCCACCTTCACTTGAACCGGTATAGCCGAGCGCATGTTGGTATCTTGTCTCCGCAACGAAGGCGCAAGAGTGGAACACGGGAACTCAAAACTGGAAACATCCATTCGCATGCGACTCTTGAACTCCCTCGCATTGAATGATCCGAGTAAGTTTCGATCAAAAAACCCAGGTTCCCCCAACCCTCTATCATGGGCCCATAAACGTCGAGATCTTGTGACTCTCCCTAGCATGAATCTTTGCACCATAATCGAAATGCAATAGGTTTGATGCCAGTTCCACATCAAGATGATACTTTGATCTCTATCAAGAGATTCCATCGTGCAAAACAGAGTGAACTGCAATAAAAGAACGAAAATGAGACTATGGACGTCATTGTCCATTGTGACAATCTATGGAAAGAAGGTGAAGATGATTTAGGGTGAAAGAGTCTACTGGGAAAGTGAAGAAAATGAGCACTGAAGTTTAGGGATTTGAGACATGAAAAATTTTGATGTGATAGTTCTATCTTCTTCTCGCCGATACGTCTCTCTTCACCCCTGCCGCTCCCGGCCGTGTGGTAGGTGTAGACACCCCTTGTCCACCTGGACAAGGGGTGCCTACGAAGATTCTTTCTTACCCTAGCCAGGAGCTCGTTGCCTGCTGCCGGTAGTGTGGTAAGGGCCTTAGTCGATTACTGGATTTTCTGTCCATGGCTCCGCAGGACTTGCTCTGGCGTCTAACGGCCAAACCACACGACCGACAGCCGGCACCAAGCTCCTGGGTAGAAGAAAACCTGGTTTTCGTAGGCCTGCTGTAGACAATCCCATAACCTCTACCTCACTGCGGGTATCGACTTCGGACTGAAAAGTGAGAAATGGCTCTATAAATTGCAATGGAGTGAAAAGAAGTCATTGGAGGAGGAACCCAAGAACGCGCGAAAATACACGTGGAGTTGATATATTCCGAAAAAACCGGAATTCCGGCCGGAACTGCCTGGTAGTTTGGATTAGTAAATTTCTTTGTATGTGAAAGGGGCAAACTAGGGCCACACCCGTTTTTGCTAGGGCCACACCCGCCCGTGTAAGTTGACTCGATCAAAGCCGCCGAAGTGGGTTGAAGCGGCATCGCAGTCGAAATAGATCAGTAGAGTTGCAGCACCGGCGGCAGCGGTACAAGGGACAGCAACGCGGTAGACAGCGACGGCCGCAGCAGCACCGCGCCCCTCGAAGTCTCTCGACTACACTCTCCTCTACCTCGCGGACGAGCTAGGCTTAGCAGCTGGGTTTGAGGGGAGTTGTGCTTTGACGCGCAATGAGTTGTTTGTATGTAGCGGATGTGGCCGTAACAAAAATGGGTGTGGTGTAGCCCTATGTGAAATTGGCACTCACTACCGTGTGATAAAAAGGGGGAGCTGGACTGCCAATGACAAGTGAGTATTCTTTGCGGGTGTTGTGGTTTGGCGCTAAAGGAAACTTACGTTGGGATGAATCTTAGCCAAAAAAAGAAATAAAACAATAAGATTATTTTTTAATATTTTTTCAAGATTTTCAACTCAAATTTTGCACTTAGTTATCAAGCAAGTTGAGAATTCTATTCAAAATACAATTTTAGAAATAGAATAGTTTAAATTTTTGGTACTAAAGATTCACTCGGTTCCAAATTCAAGTTTTTAACCATTCCACTATGTGATTAATAAATTTGAACTGAGGTTGATTTTGAAAACCCATTTCTAGATAGTAAAGAGTTAACTTCTAGGCTCCGTGATATGCAATTAAATTTTCATTTTGTGAAACTTTATCTTTTGGTCATTTTGTGGTTAAATGTGTGGAGTAAAGATTTGATTTTTGCCACCTCTTTGAGTAATGAGTGGTTTGACGATCTCATAAGCAAATAAAGTGCATGAGGAAAATAAGTAGACACTACTAGCAGATCTCAGCTTATGTTTTAGTAGTAAAAGCCATCGATGGCGATGAATAAGCTTGGAATTCCATGGTTTGAGATGGAAATTTTTGATGAACAAAATGATTATGTTTTGTGGAAGTGACAAATCACTAATGTACTTGATGCTATGAGTTTGGGCAAGGTGTTTAGTCACAACTTAAAGATGTAGATGATGATGATTAGAATGCCATTCAATACCATGAGGTGAGTACTGTGGTATTGTATCTCAAGTCAAATGTCTTGAAGCAAATGAAGATGGCGCTAACGATAGTAAATTTGTTTGTGATATTGTGTGAGAAGTATCTTATAAGTAGTTTACAAATCGGTCTTACACAGCTTTGAAGCTCACCAACTTCAGGATGGCGAAAGTTGCAAAGATCCAAGATTATGTAGATGACTTCAATGATTTGGTTGTGGATCTTGAGAACCTTGGAGAAAATTTTAATGATGAGTTAAAAACTGTTCAGTTTATTTTGGTTTCATGCCGGTATCTGTCAGGAATGTTGCTTCACAGTAACAAGAAAACCGTCACGAATCACACAATTATTATTGATTTATCAACCTATGACATGCAATAGAAGTTGTTGGTGTCCGTGCATACTTCTTTCAATCAATCCACTTCATCTTCTATTGCTTAGACAATCTTTTGTGGTAGTACGTCAATGAAAATACTAAGATCAAGTGTAAGTCTAGATATAAATCTAGAGATTATAAGAACATGAAGTGCTGAAATGTGGCAAATCCGATCATATTCGCAAATATTGTCCAAATAATGGAGATACGAATATACACCATTTGACTTTATGGGCCGATTGGCCCTGCCGCTCAGACGATACAAATATTGTGAAAGTAATGCAAACGGTGAATCCTCGAGAACCGTGATAGTAAGTGAAGATTTTGATTCTACACTTTGTTAAGAAATTCTCAGGTTAAGAAATTTCAAAGTCTTGCATTTATTTTATTTTTTTAGATGAATTAATCATAAATGTTTGCCTCATGTTTGTATTTAAACTATCAATATTATTTATCCTTTATCAATAAACTTTAAAGCTTATCAAAATTAAATTTATCTTGATCATAACAAACATATAATATAACATATATAACTAAAATCATGAGATTAAAAACTTTATTACTCACTAATTTAAGAAATGCTCACGGCTAGCTATTAGAAGGCTAATATTTTTTATTAGCCTTATACAGCCGGCTAGCTGTTGCCTTAACGGATCACATGGTTTTTTTATTTATTTCTTTGAATAGGTGATTCCATTACCGTAGCTTCATGGTAGTGTCATGGAATTGACACACAAACTGAAGTGTTCCGAAGCGGCAATAGCATTGCCAAAAACACATATTTGGTGGCACCAAAGATTCCATGCACATTAACGTGTTGCTTTCAACGAGCACCAATTCTGAAAAACGTTTGCGATCAATACCTGCCCACTACACGATTGCATCTTCGCATGATTCGTCGTCCGTATCTGTGAAGTGAAAAGAGTGTGCATGATCTTATTTGAAAAATCATCTCTTTCCGTGATTAATTAAACATGTTAAGATATCAAGATACAAATTTTGAAATATAATAATTTTTACCCTATTTGTGATGGCGTGAACCCAAAAAAAGAAAGGAGCTAGGCTCTCTCGTGAATAGGTTGAGAGGAACGAACAATGAATTAGTTTCAGGTGCAGAGAGTTCCCTGCATTCATAGAGTCGAACACATTCCACGCTTAGTGCACGCCAGACTATGGGAACAAAACATGTGTTTTATCCGATAGTAAAAGCTCAATGTATTGTTTGCTACATCTATGGATTCACGGAATTACGCAGCGCCAGAAAAGAGTGCTTAAAGATTGGATGTCGCTTGGCTTCCTTCGGGTGAAATAGTCGTCGAGGACATGCATTGCGCTATACATTTTCGCCGCTGAATTTGCCATCAGTTGGAAGCCGGCCACCAGCTCTAGTTTCCTCTTCTCCTGCACCCAACATCAATGGCGTATCCGAATTTAGCTACAGGCCTTGGGCAGAACGATCGAGGACAACAAATTGAGTTGAAAGTGTCAAGTTGTAACTCTTTGCAATTTGAGAAGGTAACGCCTTCTGTAGGATCTCTGTATAACTCGAGCCGCATAATCCTGCAAATGAGATTATACCATTAGTTAAGACAACAGAGATACTCATGATAAATTTGTCAAGCAGAAATGTTAAACAGAAATCACATTGTCGTCTGCAGAGAACCAACAGAAAACCTAGCAGATTCTGAGTAGGTATATGTATCAGTAAGTACCGAGTGTAGATCAGGATTGCATAGCACCTTGGCAAGGTCATTGCTGAGAACTGCTATGGTGGTCCCTTGTTGTCCATCTACCTCCTTCAGCTTCTCCAGTTCTTCCTGCAGATATCGTATTCGCTGCAATTACAGTAGATTCGGTAAAAAGTTCAAAATAACGAAGGCGATGCTTAAAAAACTGCAACCGATATATCATAGTCCGTATTAATATGGAAGACTTCATGAATTAGTCTTTGCAGTCATTTTCGGGTTTCATGATATACCTTTATTATAAAGGACGTGGATTGAGCAATTCCTATATAATACACAGGTGATTTCCATAAATACTTTAACGTTGAGCTGAACAGGTCCATAAAAATTTAGTGGATAAATCTAGGAAAATGAAATCTTGTTGTACTCCAAAACAGACGATAAATAGTTTGTTTCTCACACCTATATTGTGATCAAACTTGTTACAATAATGGTGTTATAGCAGTAAAATTGATAGGGTGACTCTTCAGGATTGCGTAATTATTTCTCCTGTTACTCATAAAACATTTTTCATGATTCTTGTAGAGAGTTATGGGTAAGTTCAAAAGCAGCTCTTATTTCCATAAAGATGATGTAGCCTATAAGAGAAATGTGAGGAATATCGTTCAAAGCAGCAACTATATATGCTCATATCTTGCTATTGTAGCTGACACTACCATGATGTGAATACTATTTTGATAAGCATTATTATAACAAGACCTTGTAATGTGAGCTTACCTTTCTCTGACTATCGACTGCAGCGTTGCGCACAATTTCAAGCCTGAACCATGAAAAATTGCAAATACTCATTGCCTTTAGTCAATTAGGGTTGTGCTCCATGATTTATCAAACTATTTTTGTTCTCCATAAATGCGAAGTTCCCTTTAATCAAAATTGGTTCAACACATTGTTCCCTTATCCTCCTGCATGAAATTAGTAACAATCGCCTCATCTTTATAATAGGAATGTTCACTGCATATTCATGATCTACATACAAACCAGGATATGCATATGTCAAGTTTATGTGATGTGTCCCATCCTCACACCTATGACTCCAATGGTCGTCTTTGAGTCGCAACTGCTCCATGAATTTTTCGTTGAAGCTGTTTTGTTCCTTCCTCAGCATCTCCACTTGCTTAGTTCGTTCTTCCAAACTTCGACGAGCTTGCACTAGCTGTTCCTCTTTGGATAATATTGACGCCTACACGATCCCAGTCGTTCGAATTCCATTCAGAGATTCCTTATTTGCAATGGTTGAAAGTAGCAGTAAGGATCATAAGAGCACAGCGAGACCTGGTGTCTGACGCATAACACGTTGTACAATAAATTATTATATCTCAGATTTATCCGAGCATCCTGTAGAAATGTAGCATGTGGTACAGATGAAAGGAAAGAGGCTGAGCTCGACAAGAACGAGTCTTGGGTTCCAATCTTACGAACTAGATGAGGCTAGAGATTGATGCGTGTTATGGCTATACTGTCCGGATTTTCATACGATGAACATTCTATATTTCAAAATGTTACAGACAACGTTCGATGAGTGTATCATAGCAGGCTCATGCTACTGCTGGTCACAAAGTAGAGATAAACGTTCACATGTAAGCTGGACCCATTCTGGAAGTGGGCCCATCATGACCAGGCTTGAGAAAAGGATATATTCCTTCGAAAAGAACCCCTCCGATGGAATCTACGGTGCAATTATTTTCCTAAGATGAGCCATATGGTCATAATTCCAACCTCTCGGCTAGAAACCATCTGGATGTCTGTAATCAATGGATGACTTAGAAGGAGACATGCCTGCATGTCTATGGACACATCGAAGAAATATTTCCATTCCGAGTCATCTATAATCACCTAGAATTTGCAAAACTGAAAATCAAGCAGAGCACAAAAGAGTCAATAGAACGTGTTCATTCACCTCCAGAGACTGTAAGCGTTCGTCTTGCATTTCGAGGGTATCTTGAAGATTTTTGGTCAGGACTCTGAACTCCTCTTCCACATTAACAATAGCTCTCGTTGCGACTTTCATCGCCTGCACAATGAACGGTCACAATAGCAATTACGCCAGTTGCATTCTGTGCTTAGGATGACGCTGTTATGCATGAGGATCTCGATTGCTGATGAGTGATGAAAATATTCGCTCGTCTCTAATGTGCAGAAAGCAAGTTCTTAAGTTCAGGAACTGTCAGGGTCTGGTCCATAAGATTGCCGAAAGAGGAGCACAATCTTTTCAAAATGTACGCCACGTAGGCCACCCGTGAACAACCCCCATAATTTCAATCATGAACATGACAAATCTTGCGGAACTCGGTGTGCATAGATTCTTACCCTGGAACCGAACGATAATGATGAAAGCGATTCTCGTAAGTAGTCGTTACAAGGAGCGATGTTGATGATTAGAGAAGTTTTCGCATTTCCTACATCCAAAAGTCCTCACTTCAAGCAGCATGAAGTTCTCTTCCTCTTGAAACTTATCGATACGTCAGAGTCTATTTCAAATCTCCATACATTGATTCCAACCGTAGACAACCTGATATATTCGAACTTGAAACGCATGCTAACCTGGATTATTAAGAAGAGCAAATGCACGTACAAAGCCTGTGACAAACCTCAATTCAAAAATCATCCTGTTTATGAGCTATTTCGTAATATATTGGCGGACGAAAGATATTTGGTATCATATGATGCATGAACATTACCTCCAAGTGACTCTTGAAGGAGTCGAGTAAGTTTGGAATCTCTGAATGGTACATGAGTGGCATTTGGATCTGCTCTTGCCCCTATGCATTTGCCTGGTAGCCAATGTTTCAATAATCTTCAATAAATCGGAATGATTGCGATTTCCGCGTTTGACCATTTACGGATTTCCAAGTCTCTCATTTGAATGGGGCGTAGAAAACAGACTTTCCAATTTCGTTGTACTCACTTACTGCTAATATGTGTGGGTCCATCAAGGATAACATTTATCAAGTTCTTATCTCTGTAGAGCAATCAAAGCTACACGCCTTGCATGTAAAGCATGTAGCTCCATTTGAATGAGAGACTTGGAAATCCAAGGCAAAATTTCAAACATTTCAAAATTTTGGCCTTGCACAAAATTTAGTGCAAGGCCAAAATTTCGTACCCACTTTATGCAAGTTTTCAACGGACAGATACCAACGGCGGAGAGTGTCCCAAGGATTGCAACAAGGGGAAATTTAGATCAATTAGTGTTCAAGTTACGACATGGACAGATTGTATTTACCGAGACAAGTTAGAGATAGGTTTACACTCATTGCCTCACTTGCCCGGATGCCTTCTGAACCTGAACATACCAAGCAATCAGGACATTTAGAAGGTCTGGCAAAGTGCTGCTAGATTCCAGACCGAGGCTACAGGATGGTGTCTCTGTCAACGGGCAAAGGAAAGGGAACCTCATTCTACTTCGAACAGTAAAATGATGTGTACGAAGGTCAATGTCGTCGCCAACTGTTATGGAGGGAACACGGACTGCAGCTGGTACACTTTCGACCCCAGGTTGATAAGGAGTTACAGCTTGTAGTCTTTTGGTAGCTGGTCAGGTCGAGAGAAAGAGGGCTCTAGTTTATCCATCTCACCGCTTTTTTTCAGTCTCTCTGAGCCAGCGAGATCGACAAGAAACAGCTTCCCCACGAGCACCCTGCATTGAAGTCATTATTCTGTTACTTCGGATACGGCAATTCTCCAGAACTGCAGGCTTTCAAGTTTACATGGCGTTCTTCCTGATTTTCTCTCTGTCCTTATTACTCGCTGAACTGCTAATCATCTGCTCGCCGGCAATTCACAGCTTTGGTCGGGAGTTGACCTTGTCTTCACACCTTTCACCTTCCAAGAATCCAGCGCTACTTCCACTGTGTGGCCGATCCGAGGCTTCGGATGCTGGTTCTGAGAAATTTTTGGCTTTCCTCTCCACCGTTAGAATCACAATCGCATGGCTCCGAGACGAATGGGCATTCTGCACTTCGTCATGGCGCTTAAGGTTATCTATTCGCGTGCCTCCCTCCATCTCAAGGCCGCCTTTGTTTCATAGTTACATCGGATATCACAATGTTTTTATCTTAACCATGGCAACGATGAATCTCCCGCTCGCGAGATGGAATGAGGTGCCAGAAATGCTTTGTCAGACCCTCTCTTTGACCCAGGCTATAGACACGTTACCAGCTTTGTGAAAGAGAAGGCTCTGTTGCGGTCACCCAGCAGTAACAACTTCATCACGTCCTCTGCTGACTTCACTTCTACCTGTTTAGTCATTGTGGAAGACCGACTTCATTCTCGATGCGCACATAATTTTTAGATGCACTGTTCACCGTCTAGCCTTGAACAGTGTGTTCTATCATGGGAGGTGGGCCAAGTGTTTTTATCAATTCTCGTGTTCTTGATGTGAATCTCGATTCAACGGCCACATGGTCTACTGCTGCTTTCAGTTTCATATGATGTGGGCTGAAAAAGTAGCGTTCTACAAAATTCAAAACTTACATATTTGGTGGACTAAAAGCAGCAGGTCTGACACTAGTACCTCTTGTATCCCGGAAACGTAAACTCCAGTTTCTCCTTCTCTAATTTGCATGTTACAGCTTTCAGGTCGAAGTAGATCTTGGATCTGCGCTACAATACAACTCGTATTAAGAGTAAATGGGCTGCAGTGTGCAGAGTTTGCTACTTACAACTCGGAACATTCGTTTGTATGATACAGCAAGCAATTATGTCCAGATTTGATCAAATAGAAAATGCAAGAAGATTTAGATACTGGTTTCAGAACTTCCGAAGAAATGTCAGTGGGTATATCTGTCAATTTTATTTTTTTTCTCAAAAGGACTTTGTTTTGAATTATGCCTATTTCACTTGATTTATTGAATATTGGGCTCATTGTAGGTGAGGAGCAGAGTAGAGTACAGAGCGACACAAATCTCGTGCCCCAGAGCTAAGTGACTTACGCTGGTCGGCGATGTAACATAGAACAAGTGAGAACTATCTTACTGAAAGTTTGGATAACCAAAAAGAAGAAGGAACCTGTTCCATGTATATCTGGATGTAAGACATGGACACATGGTACTCGTTGTCGTTGTCCTGTTCTGCTCTAGCAAAAATTTCAGCTGCGGATCTTGGAATAATACCTGCAAACCATGTATGTTATTCAAACTTCAAAGTTTAGAATAAGATGAAGTTCAGGATACTGACTGCACAGTCAATCCGAAGATGGGGACGGCAATCAATACTCGTACCGTTATGCATGCAAACATTTCTCGAGACGAACTCAGGTAAGTGCGATGAACGATCCAGCAATAACTTGATGATGCTCACCTTCGACAGACATCCCTCCACAAGCCAGTTTGTCTGAAAGGGTGTAAGTTTTGCCAGCCCCAGTTTGACCGTACGCCATTATAGTGCCGTTGTACCCCTGGAGCACATCCTGCAAAAAGCCAAAAATGTGTCTGAGCCGATTGAGGCTCGTTCGAATGGGCTGACCAATGCAAAACTTTGTCGTCAATCGCACTGCCTGCCTGCACTCTTTGGAGCAAATCAGAATCCTGGGAATCCTCTTGTATTAGACATTTTGCAATTTATCTTTATCAAGTCCTTCAAACACAAAGAGTTACACTTCCACATCCCAGCTGTTCTACTGGGTGGCCTAGCTCCGGCTTATAAACTCTGCTACATTGAGTATCTGCAGCTAAAATGGAGTGAGAGCTAAAATGCTCTTACTCCAATTTAGCTGCGAATACTCGATGACACTTTCATGGTCCACGTTCCTCACAAGTGGTAGAATCATAATGTCAATGCTGCAAGTCACTGCTGTAGGCATCTACAGGGACGGACGTGATGATGATTGGCCTGTGTGCATGCGGTGGAGATTGATTTTTTGGTAACTTATGAATCGAACCCGTCTTGACTACGAATAACTACGCTATCGTAAGGAAGTCGTACCAAAACTACAGGCCTTGCTGCAGTATTGTACACATCGACTTGTTGGCAACCAGACGGCAGCACACCGTCGAACTGGAACTCTGTAAAGGCTTCAAAGCTTCCTCTACCGGATTGTACATGCATAGAAAGTGGCTGGTTAAGATAAAACGGAATAGCAAAAGCTACTTCAACGGAAAAGCCCATGCACATGCCAGCTGAGATATTCATGTAAACAACCGCATTTTCTAGTCTGCAACACTGCAGAGAAGAAAATTGCAGATGAAACTCAAGAAATTCACCAGCCGAGACGTTGTTGGTCGGTCACCAAAGGATCAAGCACAGATCAACAGCCCAGATTCAATTTTTGTCTCATGCGTTGGCTAACTTCAGGAACAGAGAGCCAAGCAATAGCCCTACGTGCGGCGCAGAACAACAGTGTTTCTATCCGTGTCCAGGAAGATGAATGGGCCTTCATCGTCTCTTTGCTCCGCTTTTGTTGGCGGTCTCAACCTGACTGTCACACGAACGCGTTCTGCAACAAAGTATATAGCCGATGTTAGGTCCTTTGTCTTCTCCTACATGTCCTTCACACCTGACCTTCATATCTCTGGACCCTGCTGACAACAGCCATAATTCTGGTGGCCTAGTCTCCTAGGGGACTGGCACCAGAGCATTAAATATTCCAGACGAGTCACATTGAATTCTCCTAACTTCTTCAGCTACCGGTATCTTTCTCTCCCGTACTAGTTCATTATAGCTACATACAAAAGCTATGCAATTCAAACTGGTGAGAGAGATCAGAGTGCAAAAGTTGCTTCCGACTTTAATCTTTGGATTAGGTTTCGAGATAGACTTGGCAATGCTCGAGTAGGATCAATAAACTAACATCATCTACAGCATTTCGTTGTAAACAGGTTAGTATGATGGAGTGCGGGGTGGGTTGATATCTGAGAGGTGGGAACGTGTAGTTGTAGCTTACCACCGTCGCCGTCCATTGATGATTTGGGACGCTTCTCTGGAATGAGGAACTTGGCGTCCATGGTCTGCAGCAATCTTTCATTCGGAGTTCTTCGTCTCTTAGGTTGGGGAGCAGGACGGTTCGAGGTTTGACGCAGTGATCTTTCTAGGGGAAGATTGGTCGCTCCACAAGCCGCAGCGAGATGATCCATCTCTTAAATTGGCACAACAGCTGTGTTAACTCCTTCCCTCTCCCGACAATGTGTTGCTCAGGGAGCCAATTCCCGTGACTGGTGGCCACGGAGCACCTGGTTGGAGTAACACATTCCAACAACGAACCAGAGAATCGTTATCCTGAAAATGCTTTTTGTCTAAAAGACACTGGAACAGATGCACTCGAGGACATCTACCAAGCGAAAGTGAAAGACTGTCAACTCTGCCATGCACGCAATAAATGTTCACACAATATTCACGCAACGGGTCGCACGATCGCTATGATCGGCAAGCTCCCTGCCATGGTTTTAATCTAGGAGTTAATCAAAACGCGTTCTGCATGAGATTGATGAACTCATTAACCCGACGTCTCTAACTGGTGACGATATTATACCTTTCACTCGTAATTCACTTTGAAGCTTCGCGAGAGAGCAACACAGGTTGGGAGTATCATATTAGCAGGCCAGCGAGATTAAGAGAGAGTATGGGCTGTTTATCATCATCTTTCAGAGGCTTTGGGTCGTAAGCATGACCACATTTGATTCTTTCACGTTACAGCAGCTCCTTCCAGTAGCAATGTCCTGAAATGTATTTCACCTTGAGGCACCCTCTTCTTTGATGTTTCGTGGATCTTGGATTTAGGGTGATGACAGATAAGTCAACCTTCCCCAGAATTAGTGCTGTAGGTCGATCAACAAAAGCAATCATTGCCAGAGGATTTCATAAACAGTACATCTGAGTTTTCCTTTCGGAATGTGAAAGTGTTGATAACTTCAAAGAGATTCTTTCCTTTCTAATAGTGCGAATTACAGTATGCAAATCTGTGAAATTGGAAAGACCTTGCGAGAAATTGCAATCGCGGAGTCCTCTGTAAGATAGGGTTGGCGCTGAACCTCAGTTGATTGCTGAAAACAGCAAAATTGCACGAACCAATCTTAGATTAGTTACTCACGCACCTCGCTGCCTAAAGGGGAATGTCAAAGCGGGAGTATCAATGCTAAAGCTTGTGCTGTTCAGTCACTGGCCGACTGTGTTTTCTCCTGATGGTAGATCATTGAGACCTTCTGCATTTTATCAGCCGACCTCATTTCTGCTGAATCCGATGGCATACGGGACGATAGGAACACAGCTTTGCCTTCGACATTTGCGTTTCGCACCGTCGTCGTCAGGGTATAACTAACCTAGACAAGTCAATCGCAGCATCTGCGTTCACACGACGAGTCCTTTTCAGCAGAGCAGTATGAAGCTCAGAAGGCTCTACTAAAACAGACAGTCGAAATCCCCACTGAAACGAGGTCACCAAGGATCCTGGGATCTGTGAGAAAATTATCACCGAAGGAGGACATATACCCAGCTCAAGATCCTGGCGACTAAAATATAATCTGAAACCTGAACCTTCTGAGTTCCTAGCAATCTGCTCTATGCATCACCCTTGCCGCAGCAATTTTCGTAGAAAACTGAAATATGCAAGGTACGTTACACAATGCAATACCTTCGGGTGATAGCCGACTCTACTTGGATTTGGACATTGCCATTCAACGAGCGGAATGTATGCTCGCATAGTTAATTGATTGATAGAAAGTAACTCGCAGAGCCTGGCGGTGGGAGAATGTGCTGCAACTTTCTCGGGAGTATCCAGTGCAACATCCGGAGAATAATAAAATAGTAGCGCGACCCGAAAAATCTTATGACCGACGTTCGCCAGAAATCCCTTCAGTTACGAAGCATCAATCAATACAGCGTTCGACTGTCATGGCTCTTTACTTTTATGTACACAGAATCGATAGACATACGAAGGTCTACTTGCTAATTACAAAGAGACGAAATCAGGATGAAACGATTAAACTGCACAATCTAATCCATTTCTGTCAGAGGATCGACGGCATGTCGGTGGTAATCGGCTATGCTATTCACGAGAGACGTCTCCAGATCATTCAAAGCTTGAGAAAGGCCTTTCATGACATGCCATAGCTCCGTGTTATCCACAGTCCAGTCCTCCGAGAGCTTCATACATTGAGAGTAATTAGACACCAAAGCCATAAAGACATTCCTCGTCAGTTTTCCATGAAAAAGTTTGAAGATTTCCATCAACTTTGTTTCCGCTATCTGACACTCCTTGCTCTGCTTGCCATATAGTTCTTGAACTTGCTCAAATAGCAGTACCCCAATCTCTATACAGATACCATCTCCGCCCCCGACTGCAGTTATTGCATCAACCAGGATTTTCAAAACCTGTATCCGGATCCCAGGTTCGATGTACGCCAGCACAGCCACCAGTACCCGAGAACTTGCGAGATAAACGTCCATAATGGAGGCCCGAATCCAGTTCTTATACATAGGTTCCAAGTCCACGGACTCCACAACTTTGTCGAGAGTGAGGATGAGACCTGCTAGTTCCTTGCGGACTCGGAGTCTCTCGGCCGTGAGGCACTTTACACAGTCGGATTTGGCCTTTTGCACAGCCGTCAAGAGCTTCTGTCTGACCTCGTTGAGCGGTCTCGGGAAGCTACACTCCCAAGAACATCGGGGGCATTTGCAAAAGAACGGCCAGTTAGAGGTCGACGCCTGCCGAGCTTCCAAGTCTTTCAGGATGTCGAAGTACGCAATGTGCAGCTCCTCGTCTGCAGATATATCTCGACATGCATACACGAACAGAATATCCCTGCCTGGGTTATAGGTGACACAATTCGGGGTGCACGAGTGATTCATAAATGAAGGGAGTAGCCACAGCGCACTGTACTTCGACTCGGAAGCTTCAGGCTCCTGAGTCCCGGAACTGGTCTTCTCACTCTCCAAGCTCGAGTCCCATACAGTTATAGCATTTACCTTGACGATACCGTGAATTCTCACCAGATCCAGCTGAACATCGGCGGCACTCTCCAATTTCAACTCTCCTCCTGGCCTGAACAGCTCCATCGGTGGTATCTTGTTATCTTCCTGAGACAGAATTTGGAGCTCGCTCGAGAGGCTTTGAACCTGGCGAAGACATCTCCTCGAGGCGGAACACAACTTGGAGAGCTGAGTGACGAGAGTCTCTTTGTCGGGAGATCTAACAACAGCATTGCTGACCATGAGAAGATCACCCGCTCTGACATTACGAGTGGCGAATAGTCCACGACCGCCAGCTGCGACGGATGCCCGAATCTCCACTGGACCCACGAAGTTACAACAAGGAGGTGGGTTCGCATTCTTCCCATCGAGGTAGTACTTCGTCAAATCAAACTGCCCCTGATAGGCCTGCTGGTAGCTCACTTTATTTCGGGCGATTGCTCTCTGAATGGGAAGATCTCTTGGAGCTTCTTCCAAAGCAGCGTTAAAACATTGTCGAGCTAGTTCATACTGTTCAAGCGCTTCCAGAATTTTCCCTTTCCGAGACAAGGTCTTGACATGCTTCGGGTTGATAAGCAAGGCTTTGTTTGCATCTATCAGAGCGTCCTCGAGGAAATTCGACCGAAAATGGGCTTCGGCTCGATTAGAGTAGGTCAGAAGCATGAGCTGAGTTCTCCATTCGTAACGTTCCATTCCCTCGGGAATTCGCTCCATGAGCGAAATGCATTTGGAGTACATCTCAATGGCACCCTTCCAATCCCCCATGGCGTATAAATCATTGCCTGCGGTGCGCAGATTCTCCACACGCAAATACTCCATCTCGGACAAGTAAGACTTGGTCTTTATCTCATCACCGCCACTCTCTGGTTCGGGGGAACTCTTGCAATTCTGAGAAAGCTCGGAGTCCTTCTCGAGCGTGACTTCTCGTAAATCTTGAAACAGATACCTGAGCGCTTCTTCTATTTTCCTGCGGCCATCTAACCTCGACAAGTAACAATCTTGTGTTAACTGCATCGTGGAGCACATCGCTACCCACGGCCTAGAATTGCTCGGGCTTCGTCCTCTCAGTCAAATGAAGAACACACGCTGACCAAGTTTTTCCGGGACAAAAGAGTCGTCCGACACAGGGAACGACGAAATCTTCATCCAAGCCCATTAGGACTCCTCAAATAGGAATCGGTAAATTAATCAATCATTACCCCTATAATGCGACCACTGCGCGAACCAGTGAGAGGGGACACAGCGTCCTAAACCCTAAGCCTACGCCCGCCCGGCAAGGCCTCCAGCGCACGAAAATGGTCGTTCTTCATCGCATTAGGCGAATCCAATGGGCAGAGTTGGCTATCAAGTTGCAAGAATCTACTGACAAAACAAAGGCTCTAAAACAAGAGAGTTTAAGGCTTCGTAAGCAGCCAGACAAACTCCGGAGACACACTCAGAGGTTCTTGCAGGAGGAGTATCAAGAACAGGACAGGCTCTTCCGGAACTCCACCGGGACCGAGGAGACAGTGGCCGGCCACCAAGGAAAGGTGACGTGCGAAGTCGAAGACTTCGCACGTTAAAGTGAGAGCGATTGTGAGGATCGAGGAAATTTGAGGTGGGACGAGGTGATCAACGATCAGTCGATTCTCCTCGTGCCCGAACAAATTACATTCCCGGGAGACTCTGGGCGCCAACCAGTCGTCGACTCGCGGGAAGGCCCGGGCGGTTGCGGCACGGGAGCCGCAAATGATCCCCGAAACTCCACTTCCGTTACCGTGTCCGAGCATTAAGCACCGATTACCGAACTCGCTTAACTTCAATGTCATCAATCCGCGGCAACTTATTGAAGGAGTAGGAGCGCTTTCGGACTTAACGCCCCGCTTATTTCGTTAATTATTTCGCTAATTTTCGCCTCCCGGTTACTAATAACGCACCTGCTATTATTACGACCCGAACGAACGCGCTGTCTAAAAGCGGTAGACTTGTGACGTCACGTTGATTGCGACGTCGTAGCTTGGGCCACATCTTTACGAAAGCGACGAGCACCGAAGTAAATAAGGTCGGGGACAACAATGTAATAACCAAAATAAGACCTCCTCTGACACATGTTAAGTCGCGCAGTCAGAGAATTTTTTTATAAGCTTTGCTACTCGGAAAGTCTTCAACTCCAAAGGTGACAGTGATAAATAATGCTTGGAATGTCTTGAACAGAATAATTAAAATTTCAACTATTTTTCTTAGCAATTTTTATGGGAAGACCTTGTCGCGGTTTGGAAAGTTGTGACTAAATTTTCAACTAAACGGTTGTCCCCGAGGAAAGGAGCAGCAGCATAACCAGAGCAGAAACTTTGCCGGTCTTCTGCACATATGGCAGAAAATACAACGCTCAAATAATGCCGTGAAAACATGAAGATTGACTACACAACTCAGCGGTGCAAGCATTATAGCAAAAAGTATGGAAAGAAGCCTCTCAAGTCAAGCATGCATGAAGGGTGGGAAGAAGCTAGACCCAATAGAATCACAACTGCAAATCAGTCTTATCCAAAATGTTATAATGTGTAGGCCAAACCACATGAGGCCAAACTACGATGGATTGAACCAATTATTGCTATAGGTTTATGTACACACCAGCTGAATTTTGTTTCACAATATACTAAAGAAATTGATCTGACATGTGACTTAGTAGGATAGTGTCAATTAACAATCATGTCGAAGTAGATGAACTTTATATAACTCCGTATCAAAAAGTTGACCTCTGCCAACATTCATACTCGACGACCTTGTGTCGTTGGTGCCACTAAAGTTTATGTTAATCTAATAATATGGTAAAACACATATCCAGAGCAAAACCTACCAAAAATATCATACATGTATTCAGCATCATCCAAGTATATTGCAAGGCATACCAATGAATCCAATGAGAACAATAACTCAACTATTACAAGAAATATTATTATCTCATATTAACATCGATGCATCACTTTAATATTATCTTGATGTATTTAAAAATGATTCAACAATACTTTAAATTAAAAAAAGTGCTTGATTACGTGATTGTGAAATAGAATGAATCTAGTTTGTCACCCTCAACTCAACTCAATTTTTCAAATATCCATGAAAATACGAGAAATATATACAATATTTTCTACTTGATGGATATTTATGAATCTTAAGTAAAGCAAAAGAATACAAAAACTCAAAAGTCATTGTCCACATGAGATATATATGGTTCAACCTAACAAGTTTACACTCAACTCAACATAATTATGTCCACGGAGCATAGAGAATGTTCTACAATAAAAAAACGTTAACATGTGTTTTTAGTAGCTACAACCAACTGTCTTTTTTAGTGACAGACTAACTGATCTTATAACTTGATTAGACTAGCTAAAAACCTACCAATACCCGTACGCCAACATCCAAAAATTAGAGTTTCATACAAGCACATAATCCGCCAGTAAATGAATTGAGCTAGTAAACCAAAAGATATTTAAAAATTGTAAAATTATTGATATTTTATCAATTCATTGATGTTTTGACATCTTGCTATGCAAATCCGTAACTTCATCAACTATGTTGCTCTTCGGCAAAGCTTAATCATTTTTCTTGATTCGAAGCCCAAGGCTTATGATTATAGTTATAGATACAATCTTTAATCTTCATCACCTCTAAATATGTAAACAATGAAAATGATAAGAAATTTAAGTATATTTTGTAAAATGTATTATAACATATATTACAATAAGAATGTACTGTAAATCTTAAATCATCAGTATACGACAGTATATTTGATCCAACATTTTTAAAAAAATTGTTTTTTTTCTTAATGAATATTACATTATATACAACAATAAGATTCAAAAAAATTGCAAATTTATTTCAATTTCATGCTTCAATATTTTTAATATGTAATTTTCAATAATCAAGTGATATTTTTTTAAAAAATAAAAAATTTCATGCATAAATAATTAGAAATATGAAATTAATCATAAAAAGTATGAATAGTTAGATTTACAACACATAATACAATATTTTTTGTACATCTAAGAATTTTTCTATTGGATCCTTGCAAATGAACAAAATTTAGTATATTTGAAATAATGGTTCATACCTTACATCAAGTATTTGTTAATTCAGAGCATATAAAATAAAACTTACTTCTTGTTGAAATAAATGAAAAATTATTATTTTTTATATTATTAAGTTTAATATATAAGTATTTAAATTTTACTTTTTATATAAATTTTTTTATTTTGTTTACTTAACATTTTTTTTACATTTTCAAGAATAATTTCAAAATGATGTTATAAAAGTAATTATATTCAGTATAAGTTTTTGAAAATACAATTTTGATCATCTGCGATATTTCAATTACATTTTAGAAACTTGCAAATTTGTTGATTGATGTTTTATATTTTCTGATAATTATTTTATGATTGTAAAACCAAAAGAACATCTAAAATCATACAATGTCAGACAAATATATTTTATTGCAATATTTATATCACATTGTTTTTCAAAATTTGTTAAAGGAATTAAATTCACACTAAAAATGCCTTTATTTATACAATGAAGATTTTTCAAGATTACAAAGGGTCAGTTACTTTAAAAAATTCATAAAAAACAGCAGAAGTACTAATAAAAATGGAAAATATTCTTATATTTTAATTCAAACATAAGTTTCAGAATCTAAATTGACTGATTTAGTTTTAAAATTGCGTTTGATGCATATGTTTGGTTCCCTATGTTAAAAATATAGGAAAAATATAATAAATACATGAGTAAGTATCAATTTTTTTTCGAACTTAACGTTTTTTAAAAATTTATCTGATGTAATATAAAATGATATCAATTATTTTTTAATAATTATTTATTTTCTATTATAAATTTACTTTAAAAATATCAAAATTTAAATAAATATATGTATATTTAAAACTTTACATTTTATATACTTATGTCTTTTGAAATTTATCAGATCAAATATCTAATAAAATAATTTTTATCTATGCACAATGAATACTTTACTAACATTTACAAATTAACAATTTAATAATAAATTTGATTGTTTATTCCTAAATTTTTTATCAAATTATAATGCATTTAATATGTTCATATTTCTTGTGCAAACTACTTCAATAATTAAATATCTTATGAATTATTATTCTTTATCTTTTGTTCAACAAGATTACTTATATTGTTACAAAAAACAATACATAATTTTTTTTCATATAAATGCATGTTAATCTAAAAAAAAGGTGTATTATTTCTCATTGTCTTTATTTGTTGATGATAATAATGAAATTGCAATATTTAGGCTGAAAATGATTGTAGATGCAATGTATAATATTAACTTTGAGAGTTCAATATTTTTGTAAGATGTTCACAGGTCTTTACTTGTAAGTTATCAAGTATAAAGTTTCGACTATATGCAAAGAACAGAAAAACTTATTAAAGATGTCAGTGATTAAATCTTATTGCATCTAAATTTTTTTAATGTTTTTGTAATTTAATATGATTGATATGAAATTTATATGATCATTATTTAGCCATGAAAAGCATCTCCAATTAAAGTTGAACACTATGCAAAAAGCAAAAGATTTTGTGATCTTGATTTAAGGACAACATTAATTTTTGTTTTTGTTTTTGTTTTTACAGTTTTTTAACAAATTTAAGTTGCAAATATAAGATTAATAGCAAAATTGTATTAGAAATTGTAGATCAAATCAACGATGAAATGCTCCGTCATTTCACTTGGAAAATTTAGAATTAATCTGTGTGTATCATAATCACGTTAGAAAGCAAGATCTAGTGAAGTTTAATAGCTTTCACAATTAGATGCAAAATCTTTTATAAAGATTTTGCATCTGATTGTGAAAGCTATTAAAAAAATTAAACTAAAATTTGATTTTTTATTAGAAATCATAAATTAAGCTATCATAACACGAAATGAATATTTGTGCTATAAGACTCAAGTATTGATTACTGTAAGTTCTTTTAAGCTGTCAGAAATAGTTTTTTGTTTAGCAACTATCTTGACAAACTATCATCCCTGTAATTTATTCTATAGTGCACCTTGTTAGTTATGAATAAGAACTCTAATTGTGTCTTTTCATATATCTTTTCAAATCTTCAATATCATTTTTATTACAATTTTTTTTTCTAAATATAAAATATAGATGAGAAAAGTTATTGTGAAATCTAATAGTAAATTAAATTTATGTGTAACATGATTATAATATATATGTTATAGTTAGTCTGTGCTAATATATTCAATCAATTGCAAACAGCCATTTGTACATAGTTGTAAATGAAAATATTGGAGATATATCACACAAACTCAACTCAACTTTCTTGAATGATTATGTGGTCTCATGGCAAAAAAATATCCATGCATCATCGATACTATTAAGCTAATTCAGCCTTGTTATCGTGATTAGTCACATGTAAAAATACGAAATAAACCTGAACATAACAAACCCATCTCAGAAAGTTATAGAGTAGAAGATTGTTATAATTTCAATAGCTCACGTGAAAATACAACGAAAAACCTTAAAGTGAAGGAATGAACTTAGTTCGTGTGATTCATGGAATGGTAGATTTTGATGTGGTCATATGCCCACCCACTGTTACGTCATAATCTAAACACATTTATGAGATACAGATGTAATAACCCCACAGATGATATATTAGACTTTGTCATACGAGAGGATCCCATGCGCTGAATTCATCCATAAATAGCACAAAGTGAATGATAGTGGATAATATAATCAAAAGAATATATTACGATTCATGATATACCACCTAAAATCGGTAAATTTCTAAAATCAAACATCAAAATAGATGCAAATTTCTAATATTTTTTCCCATTTTTTCCAATTTTGTCAATGTTTCCTATCAAATGGAACGGAAGGAAATCGTAGAAAGTAGCTACCGAAATTCCTAACTGGAAGTGAAAACCATGAAACGGAATATATTAAGCGTACCATGTTTGAAGCACAAATCAAGCTCATATGTGCAGAATGGCGCCTGATAAGCGCTCTCACCTATCACACGAGAGCAGATCACCAACCCTTTTGCCAAAATGGTGCACCGCTGGGCCCTGCCCTGCCCTGCTTCGCTTGGCTGTGCTTTGGCCTGAGCCCGACGTGAACGATGTGCAGCGTCGAGACAAGAGCAGACGACGGGCGAGGACGACGCAATCCCGATGCTCTCCTCTTCGCCAATTTGCGCTGACATTCGTACGTCGCGTCAGAGCCGACAGCCGAATCCGTGGTCACTTTGATTCGTCTGATCGATTGATAGTATGTTTGATTAATCGATTCTTTGCTCGATGAAAGATGACGACGATGTGAACGAATCTCACGTTCATGGCGTTGGGATTGAGTGCTCGAAATTGTTGAAGTCATGCTACAGCAGGGTTTCTGGATTCCAGGGCTTTGAGGTGTGTAATTGAAGATGGAAATACAACCGGCTATGAGTGTGGAGGAGCCCATCCGTCCTCCACCACCTGTTGATGCATGGCAACATGCGTACCAAGCCGTGGCTCCGTCGTTGGAGTCTCTCAGGCTTACTCTGAAGGTGAATTTTGTTGTTTCATAGTTAATTTGAATCTTTATGGCAAGGAAAATATCAGCTAGGAGTTTTGTGTTTCACAGGGTAAGGTGGAGATCCATTTGACTAATCTGGTTGTTTGGAGTGCTTCAGAGGCCCCCGCAAGTGAACATTTTGCGAGTTAATCAAATTGATGCCGCAAGACTGGATGTGGAGATGACTGCCATGCTCAGAGAACAATTGATGAAAGTGTTCTCCTTGGCGCAGGTATGGACTTTACTGGTCCCTGTTCTGGCCTGAGGTGAAGAAGTTGTTCCTTGACCTATTCCGTAGAAAAAATCAAACTTCCATTCCCATTATACAGCTGAATTTTGGGAAATTCCTTCCCTTTCTGTCAAGGGTGTTCATAAGGCTTGATTTTGTGCAGCCAGGTTTGCTCCTGCGGTACGAACCAGAGCTCAATGCGTTCCTGGAGTTACTTGTTTGGAGATTTTCTATTTGGGTAGATCGGCCTACTCCAGGCAGCGCTCTTATGAATCTTCGCTACAGAGACGAGCGTACTTACAGTGCTCTCGCTTCAGCTGGAAAAGGTTATATTTTTCACCTCTGTGCTCAAAAACGGAGATTCTGTGCATTTTTCCTCTGTCTTCACGTTTAGTAAGGATATTTTCTTAAATGCATGGCTGTGGTCTGCAGTGTCAGGAAATAAGATATCGAACTGAGCGTAAACAACTGCCTTCTCATTCTGTATCTATCTAGCGTTTCCTGTTAGGATTATCACGAATCATAGGCCACATAGTCCAGAAAGGTTCGTGTGTTTCCTAATGCAGGCAGGTCGAAGACTGGTCTGAAGAATGTAGGTTCAAAATGGGGACTTATACCAAATACCGAGTCTCTACTTAATTATGATGTGCAATGTCACAGTTAGTATTTGTATTAGCTTGCAAAGTAGAAAGTATGCTTTTAAGCAACCTCATGTTGTGCTTCAGTCTACTAGGTGAACTGAAATGGAGCAGTCGTTATATATGTGTTGACATATTGTTTGTGTTAATGACTTGATGGTTGCAGTGCGAAACGGTTTAGAGGGTCCAGGTCTGACCAAGTTTCAAAAATTATCTTATTGCCTGGCTATGGTTGGTGGACGTTATGGTTGGAACCGTCTACAAAACCTGTCTGCTTTTCAACGCTGGGGCGACAGTGATCGCGTAAGTATTGATCCCCCTTGGTTTTTTTTTTTTGGGTGCTGCTGTCGTTTATTTTCACGAATATCAGATACGCCTTTGAGAAGGTTTTTGCTTCTTTTAACTAAGAGGTTTTGGTCTTATCTTTTGCTGACACAGAGCTCCTGGGCTCGCCGAGCATGGGGTTTTCTACAAAAGTCCGAAAGCATGTACAAAGTTGCTTGCTTTTTTAATCTTATCGTGTTTCTACACACAGGGAGGTAAGCAGGTTACTAAATAGAGGTGCTTAGTATAATTTGACCGATTGAATATGGAAATTGCTGACGCTTTGTATTTTGGGCAATTATATTCTTATTGGTATTTAAGCAGTTGTCAGTACTGGTATGTCAGCCAAGTCGGTTCTTTCGATACCTGGTCGAACAAGTAGACTTGTGTTTTTCTTTTCTAAGGTTGAAGTACTCATGGATTTGCAACAGGTATCGATGCATCGTCGAGAGGATACTGAAAGCAAGACTCGTTTACGAGAGACCTGCCATGAATAGAGCGGTGAGCTTTGAGTACATGAATCGGCAGCTTGTCTGGCATGAATTTTCGGTAAGGACAGTTTACCAGCCTAAGCATTCTCCTTATCTGTGGAAGTGCAGGTGTAGCAAGCTGAGTAACATGGCCGTATTAAAATGTGACTACTGATCAGTTACTGAGATGAATTTATTCAGTTATCAGTTCCTGTGATCAAATGAACGATGTGAAATTGATATTCTCATCTTTGTACCTGACCAAGAAGTTGGATGTCTGCAGGAACTTCTTTTGCTTGTGTTACCGCTCCTGAACATGCTGTCTTTTAGGAAAGTGCTCTCATTTTCCTTCTCGGGAAGGCAAACTCCGTCTGCCGACTTTAGAGAAGATAAGTGTCCAATTTGTGAGGCATCGCCTATCACAGTGCCCTATAAAGCCGTGCCATGCGGCCATCTTTACTGTTATTTCTGTTTACGTACTAGATGCATATCCAATCATTCATATCGTTGTGTTAGGTGTGAAGTTCAAGTGACAGGTATGCAACGTCATCAAGAGCGAGTTAGTCTAGAAGGGATGGATAGAAGACCTGACTGAATTTCTATTATTTGTATACTTAAGATATCCCATTTCTGTTTAGATCACTATATATGTTGTCGATGTTCCACAACGGATAATGATTTCGTCGCGTGATGGATATATTTTCGAGCTTTCACCTTCAAATCTTATTCCAAATAGAAGTCCATGGATGGGCAATTCGTGCTCTGTCTGGAAGTGTGGGCAGCCATTTGTTTTTCGTGGCGAAGTGACTCCGGAGACGTGTCTGAAAACAGTATTTCTGCAATCATGTCGTCTTACTTGATTCTCGTGACGATCATGCGACTACTGACGATGAGTAAAAGTACAGAAATAAATTACAGAAATAAGCAGTGATCATGCCCAGCATGACGTACGGTGGTGCCTCATTACAGTTCTTGTGGCCACCCGTTCTTGTGGCTGCTTGAATTGTTCATGATCGAATCTACCAACAAGGTTTTGTCGAATATAATGTGTATCGAAATGATAAAACTTTTAGCGATTTCTGCAGCATATTGGTTTGGATCTCAAAAGAAGTGACAGTCAGGAGGTAGCACAGGATTGTCCTGAACGGAGCAGTGTATGACCATAACACCAGGGCATGAATGATTATGATTTGCATTGCCCAGAGTGTCATTAGATACTGGCTACGCCAGCGGATGGGGACACGGAGGGTAGATAAGATGATTTGTACCCCCATGTATTCACAATGTGAAATGTCTTGCCGTAATCGATGACACTGGAGGCCAGGGGAACATACTTAGCCTAGATGATTACATGTAGTTAGAGTTCTCAGTGCCGCTCGTATTTGTGTTGATGACGTAATCACGACCTTACGTGGTTGTGGATAGTCCTCCAGTGTCTAGAGCAGTGTTTTCCTCTGAGATCCAGTACTCTTCAGCGTAAAGTGTTGCAAATGCTCCAGAACCTACAGGAATACTCAGGATATGCAACAAAGTCTGAAGAATAAAGACATTGGCGGGAGCAATATGTCCAGAATACGGATGGAGAATCGATCCGGATTTTAAATCCATTCTAGACAGTGAAGATTGGGAAGCTTACAGTGAGACACCAAATACTTATGACGTAGCTTGGTCTTTTGTTCTGTAACTTCGGTTCGTGTTTCACGTTTGTAGTAAGTGGCAAGTCCTCACTTCGATACATTTGTTTGATTATTCAAATATGTTCTGTTCAATGCATGTACTTTCTTTTGCGCACGAGTCTTGAAAAGAGTTGAATTGTGAATTGTTTTCCATCATATAGACTGGTGTGAGGAATTAAAGAACATTGTGGGTAAAAGGTGGCTTGGAAGCCCCAACATCTTCCTTTTAACATTAGACTCTTCACGAGAGGGTCATGATATGATTAGAGCAAGCAGCAAAATACCATATTGAAATTTTTCATAAATACGTAATAATTATGTGAACTTGAACGAGCGAAGGAAACATTTTTCGAGTAAGGATGCGACCGGAAGAGGGAATAATGATAGCGGGGAGCGATGTTAAAGGGAGACTGATGGGTACTAGCAAAAGCGGATTGTAAGCGGAAACCGTATGCGTACGAGATTGAAAGTGACTAAAACTAACAAAGATACACAAATTATAATAATAAAAGGGTTCTAATATTATCAATAGTTTTATTATTCAAATATTACCAATTTGTAACCAAATTGGTAACATGAATCTTATAAATATCATAACATATTTTTTCATTGTGATGTTATACTATGTCATTTATTATCTATTAGATCATCATATTAGAAAAAATGACCTTTCATAGTAGAGTAATTTCTAATACATTCACACCTCAGTATGTCCAAGTTGTTGTACAATATTTCAGTAAGTTAATTAGTCTTATAAAAAATGATTACTCTTTCTTATTTCAGTTTTGAGTAATATAATACTTAAATTAAAAAAACGTTAACGTTTTTGCAAAACTCTATACTTGAAGAGTTTTTTTGTTGTAATTCAACTTGCTTCTTAGATATGAGTATGCGTGAATAATCTGTCCAAATCAAGGTGACATGAAATTTATTACTGCATGAAAAGAACATATTTATAATGATATCATAAGCTAGTCTTCTATGTTCCCTGACATGCAACTAGTCAAATAAATACTTGACACATCTAGAATGATATCACATTTAAAGATATACACTGAAGGTTTAGATGGAAAAAGAAATTCATGAAAAATCTAGACAAATTCTAAATGTTTCAAATGATTTTTTCCAATAGATTTCATCTATTTTCAAAGTGTAGATGAGACTTAGTATTACAAGATTTGATGTAAAGTTTATTTAAGTATACTTTATTCAAATTATGTGTCATCGTAGATTAGTATACTCAAGATCATGTTCGCATGATAAAAGAATGAGAATTCATGTTATAATTTCATGAAAAAATAATATTTATATACTGTTGAGGTTAATAATTATAGTTAACGATAAATCTCGGTTCCTAGCTAAAGATGATTAGAATGGTTTCATTATTTTGAAAGTTCAGTCTAAGCGCCGAAGCTTTTATGACAAAATTACCTCTGTGAGGTTCTTGGCTAAAGATAGCTTGGGTGGTTTGTTTCGACGAGGAGTTAAATACCCCGTCGACTTCTACTATACATACACTTTTTGCTATTGCCATTATACTTTGGTGTTTCTCTTTCGTGAATGTAGTATTCGAGTGAACCAACATTACATTTATGTGGACTTGTGTTCTTACTCATGCATTTTACAGTTTTTTGTGTTCATTGTATGAATTCTCGATTACTAACTGAGAAGTGATATCAGAGCATGCGCTTTCTTGTGTTCACTGATGGACCACTTGTGAACGGGTGAGATCACAATTTACGTCGTTTTTCAGGATTCTCAACTCAATCATCCATGCGAACCAACGCGACTTTGACATTGATCATATGAACTTCGTAACAATATTGTGCCTCCCGAGATTTGGATACAAGCGTGACTTAATGCACACTAGGCACAAGAAATCCAGGAAATTTTTTTTTGGAATTGAAATACATGAGCAACACAACTAAATTCACATCAAATTTGACAAATTTTTTTTGACACTAAGATTGATTGTTTGGAGAACAAAGAGCTGAAACAAGTTGATATCTTGTACCATCATATGAAGTGACAGGAAATTGGCGAAGCCTGGTGAGCGCGTGAATGCAGAGGAGAGACAAGAAAAAATCAAAAATTAATGTTTTTTAGAAAAAGTACTCAATAAGACCAAAATCAGTAGGCAGTTGATCGAGTTAAGAGATGAAAGAAATTGTCCGCGATGCGCTGAAGCGGGGTGCGCACCGCGCACACCTGGAACAAACGCGCACCGTTTACGCAAAGATGAATGATTGGCACGGCGACATGTGTCGACACCCGCACAAAACACATCATCTGAAAAAATTGTTGCCAAAATACAGTCAAATTGAATATCGTTGGAGAGATATCGGACCTATTAGTGCATCTTGATACTTTTCGAGACATGACAGATGAAGGAGAAGGAAAAAATTACAACGGACATTGCCATGATCTCTAGCTTACGTCGGACAGAAATTGTGTTGAGATAGGTTGGAGTATCAGACTATAACATTGTACCATCTGAAGTCCGAGGTGATTACTTGCTTAAAGAGAAGTAGATAAAAAGAAAGCTAAAAGCCATGGATCTTGCAATGTTACTAAAGGAAAGATCTGTTCACATCAACGACTTTGAATGGAGAGATTTGCAGCAGGAGCAGGCCGTGTACATGATGATGGAGCATCCAAATTCTTTGATTATGAAGTAGATTGAGAAGTATGAGGTCAAACAATTGTTTGATGACTTTTAGCAAGGGTTTCATTTGAAGTAGCTGTCAAATGTGCTATACATGTACAGAAGCGGCTGAAGTTTACTACCCGGATCTAGAATCCAAAATCACATTCACGCCTTTGGTAATATGATGATAAATCTCTAGAATATGAGAGTGTAGTTTTTTTAGTCAAATAAGACTTTACATCTTTTCAACTTTTTGTCTTCTTCATTAAACACTCTCGAAGATACTCCTCCATTGTGATAAGAAGATTTTCACTTACATGGAGGTTGTAAATGCTCTTTTGCTAGATAAGATGGAACAAAAGATGTTGTCATCATTTCGTTCATCCATCTTCGAGACAATATTTATTGTAATCAGAGATTAGACACATTCGAGGAATGTCAACGATTGACGACATGCTAGATCAAAGAGGACAAAGTCCAAATCCAAAAGTACAATTCTTGAGAGGAAGAGAGCCTAATCTAGATATAAGTTCATTTACAGAAAGATGATGACTTGTTGGAAATGTGGTAAGTGTGATCACATCAAAAAAGACAGCTGGATGACAATCAAAGTTGTAGTTCTACTCCAATGACAAACGTTGCGGAGCATTTTGATCTCGAGGAGGACGAACTATTCAAAGACAACATATGATGCCAAAAATATGTCCTATGGAATTCATCAAAAGTAATTGATGACGTATGGATTCTCAACAATGCTTATTTTTATCACATTTGTTATATTAGAGATTTCTTTTGTACAATATCAAGATCAAACGAAGTGTTTCTTATGTGGGGTGACCAACCTAGTAGAATTGAGGATGTTGGATGTATGAAGATCCGTATGTTACATTAGAGATTTCTTTTATACAATCTCAAGATCAAACGGAGTGATTCTTATGTGGAGTGTCCAACCTTGTAGAAATGAGGATGTTGGATGTGTGAAGATCTGCATGTTTGATGGAGTTAAATGTACGTTGGCCCATGGTTGATTTATACTTAACATGAAAAAGAACATGACATCTTTTGGAGTGTTAAACTCACACGGCATAGAGTGTAACTCTAGACAATGCATGTTAGATGTCACATAAGATTATACTTTAAAGATACAAGCACAACAACATGTACTTATTAGAGGGCATCACTGTTTGTGGGGAAGTTAATTTTACCAGGTCTGGAATTGAAATATATCATGTATGACATTTCGGACTATGCCATTTGAGTGATTGATATATGTATATCCTTGATGGAAAAAAGTTGTTTATGGATTTTGATAAAATTGCTTTGGCATTGAGCATTGTATAGATCATGAAAAAACAACATAGACCGATCTTCAATGTTGGAATTCATAGGTCCA